TAGCCTAGAGGAAGTACTAATTTTGTAAAGTATTCTGTGGCGACTGGGTCAAATGCTCTAAAAGCTATTGAGGAAAAACCCATACTTTATATAAATAAATCCTTGAAAAATACACCAAATCTATTCAGCATAATTTCATTGCCTGAGCCCCATAGCCTAGAGGTAGTACTAATTTTGTAAAGTGTTTTGGGGTGACTGGGTCAAATGCCCTAAAAGCTATTGAGGAAAAACCCAAACTTTATATAAAAAATCCGTGAAAAATACACCAAATCTATTCAGCATAATTTCATGGCCTGAGCCCCATAGCCTAGAGGTAGTACTCATTTTGTAAAGTATTCTGGGGTGACTGGGTCAAATGCTCTAAAAGGTATTGAGGAAAAACCCATACTTTATATAAAAAAATCCTTGAAAAATACACCAAATCTATTAAGCATAATTTTAATGGCCTGAGCCCCATAGCCTAGAGGAAGTACTAATTTTGTAAAGTATTCTGTGGTGGCTGGGTCAAATGCTCTAAAAGCTATTGAGGAAAAACCCAAACTTTATATAAAAAATCCGTGAAAAATACACCAAATCTATTCAGCATAATTTCATGGCCTGAGCCCCATAGCCTAGAGGAAGTACTAATTTTGTAAAGTATTCTGGGGTGACTGGGTCAAATGCTCTAAAAGCTATTGAGGAAAAACCCAAACTTTATATAAAAAATCCTTGAAAAATACACCAAATCTATTCAGCATAATTTCATGGCCTGAGCCCCATAGCCTAGAGGAAGTACTAATTGTGTAAAGTATTCTGGGGTGACTGGGTCAAATGCCCTAAAAGCTATTGAGGAAAAACCCAAACTTTATATAAAAAATCCTTGAAAAATACACCAAATCTATTCAGCATAATTTCATTGCCTGAGCCCCATAGCCTAGAGGAAGTACTAATTTTGTAAAGTATTCTGTGGCGACTGGGTCAAATGCTCTAAAAGCTATTGAGGGAAAACCCCATACTTTATATAAATAAATCCTTGAAAAATACACCAAATCTATTCAGCATAATTTCATTGCCTGAGCCCCATAGCCTAGAGGTAGTACTAATTTTGTAAAGTGTTTTGGGGTGACTGGGTCAAATGCCCTAAAAGCTATTGAGGAAAAACCCAAACTTTATATAAAAAATCCGTGAAAAATACACCAAATCTATTCAGCATAATTTCATGGCCTGAGCCCCATAGCCTAGAGGTAGTACTCATTTTGTAAAGTATTCTTGGGTGACTGGGTCAAATGCTCTAAAAGGTATTGAGGAAAAACCCATACTTTATATAAAAAAATCCTTGAAAAATACACCAAATCTATTAAGCATAATTTTATGGCCTGAGCCCCATAGCCTAGAGGAAGTACTAATTTTGTAAAGTATTCTGGGGTGACTGGGTCAAATGCTCTAAAAGCTATTGAGGAAAAACCCATACTTTATATAAAAAATCCGTGAAAAATACACCAAATCTATTCAGCATAATTTCATGGCCTGAGCCCCATAGCCTAGAGGAAGTACTAATTTTGTAAAGTATTCTGGGTGACTGGGTCAAATGCTCTAAAAGCTATTGAGGAAAAACCCAAACTTTATATAAAAATCCGTGAAAAATACACCAAATCTATTCAGCATAATTTCATGGCCTGAGCCCCATAGCCTAGAGGAAGTACTAATTGTGTAAAGTATTCTGGGGTGACTGGGTCAAATGCCCTAAAAGCTATTGAGGAAAAACCCAAACTTTATATAAAAAATCCTTGAAAAATACACCAAATCTATTCAGCATAATTTCATTGCCTGAGCCCCATAGCCTAGAGGAAGTACTAATTTTGTAAAGTATTCTGTGGCGACTGGGTCAAATGCTCTAAAAGCTATTGAGGGAAAACCCCATACTTTATATAAATAAATCCTTGAAAAATACACCAAATCTATTCAGCATAATTTCATTGCCTGAGCCCCATAGCCTAGAGGTAGTACTAATTTTGTAAAGTGTTTTGGGGTGACTGGGTCAAATGCCCTAAAAGCTATTGAGGAAAAACCCAAACTTTATATAAAAAATCCGTGAAAAATACACCAAATCTATTCAGCATAATTTCATGGCCTGAGCCCCATAGCCTAGAGGTAGTACTCATTTTGTAAAGTATTCTTGGGTGACTGGGTCAAATGCTCTAAAAGGTATTGAGGAAAAACCCATACTTTATATAAAAAAATCCTTGAAAAATACACCAAATCTATTAAGCATAATTTTATGGCCTGAGCCCCATAGCCTAGAGGAAGTACTAATTCTGTAAAGTATTATGGGGTGACTGGGTCAAATGCTCTAAAAGGTATTGAGGAAAAACCCATACTTTCTATAAAAAAAATCCTTGAAAAATACACCAAATCTATTAAGCATAATTTCATGGCCTGAGCCCCATAGCCTAGAGGAAGTACTAATTCTGTAAAGTATTCTGGGGTGACTGGGTCAAATGCTCTAAAAGGTATTGAGGAAAAACCCATACTTTATATAAAAAAATCCTTGAAAAATACACCAAATCTATTAAGCATAATTTCATGGCCTGAGCCCCATAGCCTAGAGGAAGTACTAATTTTGTAAAGTATTCTGTGGTGGCTGGGTCAAATGCTCTAAAAGCTATTGAGGAAAAACCCAAACTTTATATAAAAAATCTGTGAAAAATACACCAAATCTATTCAGCATAATTTCATGGCCTGAGCCCCATAGCCTAGAGGAAGTACTAATTGTGTAAAGTATTCTGGGGTGACTGGGTCAAATGCCCTAAAAGCTATTGAGGAAAAACCCAAACTTTATAAAAAAATCATTTAAAAATGTTAAAAGCTTTTAAGAACAATTTCAAGGGCTGAGCCCAATAGCCCTCATTTAGTACTAATTATGTAAAAGTGGTTTGGAGTAAATGGGTGAAATGCCCTAAAAGCTATTGAAGAAAAACTGGTATTTTTAGGCAAAACATAATTTAAAAGCTTTTAAGAAAAATTTTATGGCCTGAGCCCCATAGCCTAGAGGTAGTACTAATTCTGTAAAGTATTCTGTGGTGACTGGGTCAAATGCTCTAAAAGGTATTGAGGAAAAACCCATACTTTATATAAAAAAATCCTTGAAAAATACACCAAATCTATTAAGCATAATTTCATGGCCTGAGCCCCATAGCCTAGAGGAAGTACTAATTGTGTAAAGTATTCTGGGGTGACTGGGTCAAATGCCCTAAAAGCTATTGAGGAAAAACCCAAACTTTATATAAAAAATCCTTGAAAAATACACCAAATCTATTCAGCATAATTTCATTGCCTGAGCCCCATAGCCTAGAGGAAGTACTAATTTTGTAAAGTATTCTGTGGTGACTGGGTCAAATGCTCTAAAAGCTATTTAGGAAAAAAACATACTTTATATAAATAAATCCTTGAAAAATACAACAAATCTATTCAGCATGATTTCATTGCCTGAGCCCCATAGCCTAGAGGTAGTACTAATTTTGTAAAGTATTCTGGGGTGACTGGGTCAAATGCCTTAAAAGCTATTGAGGAAAAACCCATACTTTCAATCAAAAATCCTTGAAAAATACACCAAATCTATTAAGCATAATTTCATGGCCTGAGCCCCATAGCCTAGAGGTAGTACTAATTTTGTAAAGTGGTTTGGGGTGACTGGGTCACATAACCATAAACCTATTGAAAAAAATATTGTATTTTTTGGTGATTTTCCAGGATTATGATTTTTCTAAAGTTTCAAAACATGAAAATAGGAATAAAAACGTGTGGTAAATATTATTTACTTTGCTGGTTCACATGATTCCGAATATAGGCTTATTGAAAATATATAGGCTACATTCAACAGTAGGTATAAAATACTATAATATTAAATGTGGTAGAAAATACACCTAAAGATTACATTTAATCTATCTCCTTTCATTAAAATTGTTTATTTGTATCACATTATTGATTTACACCTACATTATTTTTTTTAAACCAACGCCTTTTTACAAAGACAGTAATTCATAGACGGTCCCTAAGTTCGAACGATCTTAGTGCTGGAGGCGAATATCCAACGTCCAACGTGAAACCAACTTCACCGCGGTCAGCTTCAGACCCTGTTACCTTCATATAAGCCTTATACAACGCTGTTTTTTTTTGTTGTCAAATATGGCTCATTGAACCTTTTGAGTTGCCTGGGCCGCTAAAAAGGAAAAAATGCCCGGGCCGTTTTTTTGTCCCAGTCCAGCCCTGGACAGATCTCACATCAAGACTGCAAATGTTGGGAGTTTTTTTCTCTTTTCTTTCTCCCTTTTGTCCAATTGCTCTCAATAAGTTTTGCCTCATCCATCGCGACGTCCTCGATGCTTCAATATGACATACTTTGCATAGATCATAGCCACAGCTCATACAAATCACACACCGCTGATAAACGCACAGCCAGAGCTGCGCGCTGCTGCAGCCGGTTTGGCCACTATTCCGTTTTACGGACGTCTGACGGGCAGCAGCCAACGCGCGTCAACGGAGACGCGCCCGGTGGAGTCCTGGCCTAACGTGTTTTCATGTTAATGCTGTCAAACAGAAACACAGAACATGTGACATCACTTTATTAACAGTTTAAATACAGAATATTCAGTTTTATAAAACATAAACAACAGCTTTAAATCTGCAAAACAAGGATTTATATTTATATATGGTTTATTTCAAAAGTATCAAAACTGAAAGCTGGAGTCTGTAACTTTAGTCTCATTAATAACACATGTTTAAAGCTTTAGTCTAAAGATGTCTAAACTAGTGACAGAAGCAACTGTTTTAGATCCAGACGCAGAGACATGGGTTTAATACAAACTTCTGCTGAGTTACACACCCCAGCTTTAAAGTTACAGACCCCAGCTTTAAAGTTACAGACCCCAGCTTTAAAGTTGCCGTAATGACTCAGCCTCTAAGGTCAGTACAAACATAAGGAAGGAGGTATTTTTGATGAACTGGGATGTTGCGGTCTCTCCTCACACCGCTCCTGCTCCTCCTCCTCCTCCTCCTCCTCCTCTGGTCCTGAAGTCGTGCCAAAGCTTCACAAATGGTTCTCTGTTTTTCCAGATGAGCTCATGTCCAAACAGAACGTACCATCTGCAACAGACACCATGGGGAGTGAGGAACCCCTGGTCTCTCTCCCTGGTCTCTCTCCCCGGTCTCTCACCCCGGTCTCTCACCCCGGTCTCTCACCCCGGTCTCTCACCCCGGTCTCTCACCCCGGTCTCTCACCCCGGTCTCTCACCCCGGTCTCTCACCCCGGTCTCTCACCCCGGTCTCTCACCCCGGTCTCACCCTCTGGTCAGATATTACCTGTGGCGTTACAGGGGTCAAGAGTTCCGAGCTTCCGGCTTGACCGCACGGCATTGTGGGTAGTATTCCCAAAAAAGTGGGCATCAAATCACGCTCTCCTATTAGATTACCTGTTGCGAGCGTGATCTGTCTCTTTTTTCCAGCCCATCAATTGTTTTAATTGCTAAAAAAATTACCAATTTCAGACATTTAGAAGGTAAAGTAAAGATTTTTTCATGTAACAAAAAAGCAATACATTTTTTTCTTGTGGTTTTAGATGTAAACACAACCGACTGACTTTAGAGCTTCATGTAGCTTATGCTACTCACGAGGATCGAATACTTACACGCGAGCTTTATAAACATATTTGTCTGGTGTGGAGCTTCTGAATGTAGAGAAGGCCAAATACCTGGGGCACGTAATCAGGAGTGACCTCAGTGAAGACGATGACATTCAGAGGCAGTACTGTATGGACTGGCTAACACAAGCACGGAGATTTCACATGTGTAAAGTCAAAATAACTTTGTTTAAAGCTTACTGCACACCTCTCTATACTGCCAGCTCACTGTTTGTTCTTAATAATGTCCCCACTCTGAATGCTCTGATCAGAAATGTTATTTATAAGTTCATGAAACACTCTGAGGGCTCTATGTCCAAAGTACAGCTTTGGGTAAGTTTATAAAGCTCACATGTAAGCATTCGATCCTCGTAAGTAGCATAAGCTACATGTAGCTCTATCGTCAGTCGGTTGTGTTTACATCTAAAACCACAAGAAATAAATGCATTGCTTTTTTGTTACATGAAAAAATCTTTACCTTACCTTCTAAAGGTCTTAAATTAGTGATTTTTGTAGCGATTAAAACAATCGATGGGCTGGAAAAAAGAGACAGATCACGCTCGCAACAGGTAATCTAATAGGAGAGCGTGATTTGATGCCCACTTTTTTGAGAAAACTTCCCACAATGCCGTGCAGTCGAGCCGGGAGCTCGGAACTCTTGATCCCTGTTTACTAGGACACACATTATTTAAAAGATTGTGTGGGGAACCTGCTGAATGTATGTGTGTGTGTGTGTGTGTGTGTCTGCTGTACGTGTAAGTTGTGTGTGTGTTGTCGTGACTCACGCTCCGAACAGAGCTCCTCCCAGATGAGCCGCGTGGTCGAAGAACTTCCAGCCCAGAATCAGTCCAGCAGTATCCAGGGCCATGATGGCCTTCAGGGCCTGAGGGGAGAGATAGGAGCGTGAGAGTGTGTGTGTGTGTGTGGTGTGTGTGTATTGTGTGTGAGCGTGTCTTACATTCCCAGCGCTGAATGTAAACATGGGCAGAAAAATGATGGCGAGTTTTGACTCCGGAGACTGAGTGCAGACGGCGGCCAGGACCGACATGATGGCACCAGACTGAGGACACACAACCCAGTTAGAGACACACACACCTACACACACAGAGACACAATACACACACACACACACAGAGACACAATATACACAAACACTATACATAGAGACACACATTTTACAGACACACACACACTTCTGAGACAGGGGGATGGAGACTTATGAGTGTGTGAGGACAGCGTTAGACTCACTGCTCCCAGAGACGGACCGAAGCGACCGGAGGCTATTTTAGAGACAAAACTGAAGAAGGACGAGACCACACCTGCAAACACACAACCATTGAGTCTGTGTGTGTCTCTGTGTATATAAATGTGTGTGTGCGCGTGTGTATACCTGTGTACAGTATGTACCTGTGTGTACTAATATACAGTGCGTACGTGTGTGTACATGTGTATATGTTTGTGTACCTGTGTACAGTGTGTACCTGCAGACAGATAGACTGCCACAAACTGCTCTCTCCCGAACATAGAGACCGCGCTGCTGGAGAAACTCCACAGGACGTACATGTTCGCAGCCAGGTGGAAGAAGGAGATATGCGAGAAGGAGGAGAAGAGCATGGGGAGGCACCGCGTCTCTGTGGAGGAGAGGGAGGAGGTGAGAGGAGTAAAGAGAGGAGAAAGAGAGGAGTGACATCAGGTAAGAGAGGAGGATGAGAGACAGGAGAGAGAGGATAGGAGGAGGAGAGAGGACAGAGAGGAGGTGAGGAGTAAAGAGAGGAGTGAGAGACGAGTGACAGCAGGTAAGGACAGCAGAGGAGAAGTAAGGAGGAGAGTAGAGAGAAGAGCAGAGAGGAGAGAGTAGAAAGAGGAGGACTTACTTGAAGCTGGGTCTGCAGTGAAGTACTGAATCATGGTTCTCTGCAGAGACGGGATCCTCCAACAACAAAAGACCAGAACATTCAAAGCAATGATCCCTGAGAGACAGAGCTCAGAGGTCAGACTGAGGTCTAAAGCAGGTCTAAAGCAGGACTAAAGCAGGTCTAAAGCAGGACTAAAGTAGGACTAAAGCAGGTCTAAAGCAGGTCTAAAGCAGGACTAAAGCAGGTCTAAAGCAGGACTAAAGCAGGACTAAAGCAGGTCTAAAGCAGGACTAAAGCAGGTCCAGATGTGGTCACCTGTGACTGTGCGCTGACCCTCACTCAGACTGTTCCACCACTGGTTCATCTGAAACACAAGGAACATGAACCCAAGGAGACAAGACTGAAGCTCCCCTCTCCTCACCTCTGTCTTCAGGAAACCCCTCTCTCTCCCTCTCCTCACCTCCCCGTCTCTCCCAAGCCCCGGCGATCCAAGATGGCGCCCTATTCAAATGAATGGTTGTACTCAGTGGAGCTTTTAGATTAGCGGAAGTCGTCTGAAACTCGCAAAGACCTATGGGAAACTCGCAAAGCTCTATGGGAAACTCGCCTGTATTTGGGCATCGTCCGGTCCTCCCGGTTCTGCGCAGTGGATGATCTCCCATAATGCATTGCGCCAAACACGCGTGTGTGGGTCACACACCGGGTCACACACCGGGTCTCACGTACGTGCACAGAGGGGCTTGGCCGCGCTCTGACCAATCAGAGCAGTTCATCAGAGCGGGAGTTAGAGCGAGAGCCAGACGAGCAGAGTTTGTGGCACTAAAGTGTGGATTTAAACAAAACCGAAGGATTTAAGAAGAAAAAAAGTTCAGGATGACAAGGGACACTAAAATCCCCACAAAATCCGACCTTTATTAAAGCTGGAGGTTCTCTGTCAGCTGAGGTCGAGCTGTTTTAATATGCATTGAGTTCTATGGGGAAAATTTCTGGGTAGCCCACGTGAATTTAGTCTGGTTCAGTCTGCAATACCGTGAGAATCCCCTGAGCACGTGAGTTATTCAGCTACAAGCTAGTAATACCCTATCCAGTTAATATAATAGATCCATGGTCTCTCCTCAGGTCTGCCCTCTCTCCCTATCTCTCCTTGTCTCTCCCTCTCCTCAGCTCTCCCCCCTCTCTGCTCAGGTCTCCCCCCCTCTAGTCTAGAGCTGCAACTAACGATTATTTTGTAATCGATTAATCTATCGATTATTTTTACGATTAATCGAGTAATCGCTTGGCTGTGAATTGTGTAGAAAAAAAATATTTTTTCATCACAAAAAGCTAAAGTGGCAACACTCGAGGACGTATTGATGGCGTAAACTTAAAGTAAATGTTTGTAACAGGCTCTTTGTGCTAATTCTGCTATCTGATTGGATGAGACAGACAGATATTCATGAAATTATAAAAACAAAGTCGGTTTTAATCAAAAATACTACATTTTCATGTCATTTTTGCTCTGTTTGAGTCCCTGTGAACCAGAAAACGATTAATCGATTACTAAAATAGTCGTCGACTATTTCAATAATCGATTAGTCGTCGATTAATCGATTAGTTGTTTCAGCCCTACTCTTGTCACCTTCTCTCCTCAGGTCTCCCCATATCCTCGCCTCTCTCCCCCCTCTCTCTCCCTCTCCCCCTCTCCTCAGGTCTCCCCCTCTCTCCCCCTCTCCTCACCTCTCTCCTCAGGTCTCCCCTCTTCTTTGGCCTCAGTCTGTCTAACCAGTCGGCCTGGACTTGGTCGAAGTAGCTCTGGACTCTGGACTTGAGGCTCTCGTACTGCCACAGGGCGGCGCCACCAAACGAACATCCTGAGAACTGAGCAGAGGTCAGAGAGCAGAGGTCAGAGAGCAGAGGTCAGAGAGCAGAGGTCAGAAACCTACCCCCACAGTGAAGACCAAGGGTTTGAGAAGCTGCCTGAAGTCTCTGTAGGGACCTGAGGGCCAGGGCCTCCGCAGGGGGGCAGGCTCCTTCAGTACCAGGTCGCTGGGCCCTGGGGGGTCTTTGGGTCGCAGGTCTCTGGGTGCTGGTTCATGGACTCCATCTGGTTTTCGAGCTGCTTTTTTAAACCCACAATTCTGCTGCTGAGGAGACAAGCGCCACCTGCTGGACACAAAAATTACACCTGTGTTACACACCTGACATTACACCTGTGTTACAGACCTCACATTACACCTGTGTTACTGACAGTGGGGGCGGGTCCCGGCTCAAAAACGTCAATGAGCATGAGCGCTGACATACTTGGGTGTGGTCCCAGAAAGAGAATTATCCAAAGCTTTTGTGCTAGCCTCATTTCCGTGTGCCTTTGAATGCATCTGGGCGCTAGCTTTGTGGCTACTAAAAGTATTTTTTTTTCTCAGAGCTTTTTTTCCGCCATTTCTCGTAATAGACCTTGATACATATTTGCACAAATCAATAATACAATCTGTATATTACAACACAAACTGTTTACATGTTTATTTACACTTTTTGACATGCGGATACTGAACTTCCGGACGAATCCGGTTTCCGGGACGAATCCGGCAGCCATATACATAATCGGGACGGAAGCAGAAGTAAATATAACAAACTACCTATTCATGCCTAAACTTAAAGCTGCACTAACTGACTTTATTTTTGTATTCATTACGAAAGTGCTATCCATGTCCATGTAGTGCATTGGGATCATAGACTGTATATAATAACGGACAGAGTCACGCCTATCTCCGCCGTTCATAGGAGTTGGCCATGAAAAGTGCTTTCATGGAGCAATCCAAGATGGCCGTGAGTGGTCCAGCCCACTTCGCACAAGAAAATTGTGAAAAAACGCATCTGCGCATAAGTCAGCCGGCGCAGCTTCATTCATTTGAACGAGAGACTTCAAAAATTCACTGCGAGTAAACTAGAGTGGACCAAAAAAAATTCACCCCCCTCAGCATTGACACACATGTGGAACGGAGCTTTGAGCCAAGAGCCAACTTTTGGTCCATCCTGTAAAGACGTTTTTGAGAGGTCTGCCAACGCTATATGTTAGCATTGGCTAATTCTTCTTCTGGGTCCACCCCCATCGGCCCGGGGTGGTATTGCAAGCATGTCAGCGCACGTCATTTTGGCCACCAGCTGGGACCCGCCCCCACTGATTGGGATATACATCCTTTTGAAGAAAAAGTAGCGCAGATTTGTGCTGGCGTGACATTATATTTTAGATCGAGTTTTGATGAAACGAGGAAGAGATGTGTTTCGGGTCGCAGATTGTGACCAATCACAGCGGACCACTGGCCCCCACTTTTGTGAGAAATCTACAGGTCCGTTAGCATAGACAGCTGAGTTAGCACAACAAGCCGAGGAGCTAACCTGTGTCTTCGTCACCGGTTACTGCTTACACAGCGAAACAGCCATCCAAAAGAAAGTCTCGTTCCTCCGCGCTTCCCGGTTCTATCGTTCTATGGTCACGCCATCCACGTGCAAATCCATGTCCATGTATTTATCCATATTGGGAGAGGCTAGCTCCGTCTCAACAGTGGGTGTGTGTGGGGGGCGATAGCTTCGTGGGTGTGGGGAGGGGAGCAGAAAGAGCGAGGCCAGCGAGTCCGCGGCTTCAAAATCCCAAAGTCAGTTAGTGCAGCTTTAACCAGCCATTCCCATTAAATAACCCCAACCAACCCTTAACCATCTTACTCAGACACCTAAAACTTAACCAGTCACCCCTTAAGGATTTATATAGTTTAAAACTAATTCAAAAGTAGGTTTGTTACCTCCGGTTTCGTCCCGATTCAGTATAAGATCTAGTGCCGACCACAAGCACATTAGTTTCAATGGCGGAGATATGCGTGACTAACATAGACTGTATATATGACTACAACCATTAATTTCACTTTGGAGAGACCCAAGAGGGAAAATGCAGTTAGAAGTTTGTTGATTGAGTATGTTTGGCGCCCTAGGCCCGGGAGAGATGCTGATGAGTGCGGCGCTTGCTCGCGCGCATAATCCCCCCCGGGGCCTAGGCACTGGTGACGGCAGAGGCAGTAGGCAAGCACGCTTCGATGAGAGAAGGAGGAGGTGGGGCGGCGGAGGCTTTGCAAACTTCAGAAGGCCGGGAAGTGGGAGTCTCCGGCTTTTAACTTGCTGTCCTGGTGGTTATTGGTGGATTAGATGTGGGCGTTTTGCTGGTGTAATGAGTAGAGGATGAGCAGGCTTGTAGATCTGGCAGCAGTGGCCGGGTCTACCACAGTGAACTTTCGCGAAGAGCTTCATTTCACTTTGGAGAGACCCAAGAGGGAAAATGCAGTTAGAAGTTTGTTGATTGAGTATGTTTGGCGCCCTAGGCCCGGGAGAGATGCTGATGAGTGCGGCGCTTGCTCGCGCGCATAATCCCCAAAAACTGGCAGAGTTATCTTTGCGCGCCGGGACGTGAGCGCTCGCTTCACGATCAACCGGACGCTGCCTGGGACGTGAGCGCTCGCATCACGATCGATACCAGACGCTGTAGCAGAGTTATCTTTGAGCGCCGGGACATGAGCGCTCGCATCACGATCAACCGGACGCTGTCTGGGACGTGAGCGCTCGCATCACGATCGATACCAGACGCTGCAGTGGAGTTATCTTTAAGCGCCGGGACGTGAGCGCTCGCATCACGATCAACCGGACGCTGCCTGGGACGTGAGCGCTCGCATCACGATCAATACCAGACGCTGTAGCAGAGTTATCTTTAGAAGTGCGTGCCGCCACCAGAAATCCTATTGGTTCACTTACTTTGCTTTGTATTGCTTTGCTGGGAGCTTACGAAGAAGCCAGTAGCCGTTGTGCAGCCAGGATGGCGGACGCGTCTGGCCTGATGTAGGCGGAGAAGGCCGAAGAGGACCAGCGCCCCAGCTGTTGCAGAGAGGTGTGGGGGAGCCCCAGCGAGGCCGCGCGCGTGGCAGCGCCTATCCATAAGGAGTGGGCTGTGTAGAGCTGGGGAGACAATTTACAGAGGAGCAGTAGGGATCTTAGTTGAGCTCTGAACCAGGTTGCTGTCATGGGAAGAATGTCTGGAGTGAGAAAGACAGGTCCGTTAAAATCTCCTTTTTGCAGCGGAGGCGAGTGTAACGCATCATGGATTTGTAGGGGCAGAGAGATGTGTCCGAGCGAGCTATTACTATATTGCAGGCTCCTTTGATTTTTGAATGTTTGAGACGGAGGTTGAAATGGTCAGGGGACATAATGTTGGGTGAAAAAGAGCGACCTTTGTTTAATGCTTCCACTACGTCGAGATTATCACACATGACAGAGATCCTCTTTCTCTGCCACGTGTGATTCCACGGCGCGCAGGCCACGACCACTGGGAATATCTCGTGTAGGGCAGAGGAGATGCTCCGGTGGAAAGTAGTGGCCACGCTCGGCCAACCAGTGGTCCTGGAAGAATCCCCCAAAACCCACGGAAGGGGCAGCGTCCGTGTAGAAGCGGAGACCTGGAGGGGCAGAGACATATCGGAGAGGGCCATTGATGTTGCAGGCGCCCTTACGCTTAGAATCTTGGGTTGGAGAGTAGATAATCAGGATAGTAGGATGGTCGGGAAAGCCGTGTCTCGGACCGCATGAAGGTTGAGTGAGCAATGGTGAGACGCTTATGCAGAGAAGCCATAGAAGGCGAGCAGGAAGATGCTGCGAGGAGGGCAGACATGTACTTGGAAGATGAGCCGGAGTTCAGCGCCGCTGCAGGATGGGCAGCATGATGGGGAGCCTGCGATCAGAAGAGTGAAGAATACAGGTATGGATGCCTTTGATTAGGAGTCCGATTGACGGCTCAGCGCAGCTACTTGGCCAGCTGCATCTGATAGAATCAGAAGATTAAGTAGAGAGATGAAGCACGACCGCCGAAGCGACCCTGGGAGCATAGGTGCGAGTCCGGCGCAGCGCGGCATACTCGGCCGGGCTGCATCCATTAGAAGCGGGATAAGCTTCTGAGAGAGTGGGTTGCAGCAGCAGCGGCAGCAGCAGTAACCTCAGAAATAACAGCAATAGTCCTGTATCAAGCCGCGGCAACCGCAGTAGCAGCAGCAGCAGCAGCAGCGTCCTTAGAAAATAGCAGTAATAATTCTGTATCAAAGCCACAGTAGTAGAATGTTGTTGTAGCTGTTCAGGGTTTCAGTAAAAGAGATGCAAGTGAAGAGAGATGGCAAAGTAAATGAAGCAGCAGCAGCAGTAGCCGTATGAAGCAGCAGCAGTAGCAGTATGAAGCAGCAGCAGCAGTAGCAGTATGAAGCAGCAGCAGCGGTAGCAGTATGAAGCAGCAGCAGCAGCAGCAGCAGCTGCAGCATCCGTAGATAATAACAGCAATAATCCTGTATCAAAGCCAGAGCAGTAGAATATTGTTGTAGCTGTTTAGTGTTTCAGTAAAAGAGATGCGAAGTGAAGAGAGATGTCAAAGTACATGAAGCAGCAGCAACAGCGGCAGCAGTAGCAGCAGCAGTAACGGTAGCAGTATGAAGCAGCAGAAGCAGCATTAGCAGGAGCAGCAGTAGCAGTAGGAAGCAGCAGCAGTAGCAGCAGTAGCAGTATGAAGCAGCAGCAGCAGCAGCGGTTGCAGCATCCGTAGATAATAACAGCAATAATCCTGTATCAAAGCCACCGCAGTAGAATATTGTTGAAGCTGTTTAGTGTTTCAGTTAAAGAGATGCGAAGTGAAGAGAGGTGTCAAAGTAAAGAAGCAGCAGCAGCACGGCAGCAGTAGCAGCATTAGCGGCAGCAGTAGCAGCAGTAGCAGCAGTAGCAGTATGAAGCAGCAGAAGCAGCATCAGCAGGAGCAGCAGCACCACAATGCGATTCATACGAACAACAGACGTGTCACGCCAGCGTGCGCCGCTTGTCTCCGTGAGCCAGGTTACATACGTGTCTGAAAGAGCCGAGCCGTAGAGACAGGTGCAGCCTGGGAGCCCGCGGAGCGGCAGCGGCAGGAACAGCAGCAGCGGCACATGTAGTAGTAGGAGCAGCAGGAGCAGGCAGCAGGAACAGGCGGCAGCAGGAACAGCAGCAGCGGCACATGTAGTAGTAGGAGCAGCAGGAGCAGGCAGCAGGGACAGGCAGCAGCAGGAGCGGCAGCAGGAACAGGCAGCAGCGGGAACAGCATCAGCGGGATCAGGCATCAGTAGGAACGGCAGCAGGGACCGCAGCAGCGGCGGTCAGAGAACCATGCCCATGGTTGTTTAAGAGCCTGAGGAAATAAATCAACCCGAAACATTCCCATGCGAATAACAGACGTCCCCTGGAGCCATCTTGCTGCTTTGGTTATGGCAGATACGCATGAACGATCACTTTTCCATGCGTTCATTAGCTCCAACTCCACTTCAAACCCATTGCAGATTCACATTGGGCCCCTTTTCTTTCTGCTGCACTTTCGAAATGCAACAACTGCAGTTTAGTTACCCAATTTAATACTAGTGACCTAGCTATTTAAATGCATGGCCCCTCCTTCCTCCTGCAGATAGACGAATTTAAATACATTCATTTAACAATAGTGACCTGCGAGTAATCAGATTAATGCTGTAAAGATGGCGCCGTGGCAAGAGCTCTGTGTGTGCCGTCTGGAGCACGATGGGGTAGACTTTGCACATTTTTTCCAACGTGGTTTTACTGCAAGTGGCAGAACATGAATCTGAATTAATGCACATTGCTCCTCTTATATCCCTCAGACATTGGAGATTGATGCCATTTAAGATGCATTGTCCCTCAGTTAGCTCAAACACGTGTAAAACGGAGCCTGCAGACCAAGCACGGGGCGAAGACTGACGCCTGCAGTCAAGTGCGTAGGGCAAAAACCAGCCGCCTGCAGCCCAGACTCCGGGATTAATCCGTCCGCGGTCAGCACACTCACATGCCAGAAGACTTGGGAAAGCAACGGGACAACGCGGCACCGCCAATCGGAGGCAGGGACACGCACGGCACCGCCAGACCGTCTGCGCGCGGCAGCAGACCACGAGGAACGAGCAGCACAGAACCTGCAGAGGGGCCCCGCGGAGGGGCCCCGCGGATCAGCCCACAGAGGAGGAAAGCAGTGGAGACACGCGAACCACAGCAGGTGCAGGGACGCGGAGGAGGAGCAGACCACGAGCAGCCAGACTGAGGACAGCAGGGCCACGCGCACGAGCAACACGTGAGCAGAAGCGACCCCTCCAGAACAACGCATGCATTTGCGAACAGGTGCGTTAGCGACATGCACCTGCAGGCTTCAGAAGTTTGCAAACTTCAGAAGGCCGGGAAGTGGGCGTCTCCGGCTTTTAACTTGCTGTCCTGGTGGTTATTGGTGGATTAGATGTGGGCGTTTTGCTGGTGTAATGAGTAGAGGATGAGCAGGCTTGTAGATCTGGCAGCAGTGGCCGGGTCTACCACAGTGAACTTTCGCGAAGAGCTTCATAGAGGGAACTAAAGCAAAAAAATGATCATATCAGAAATCAAGCCCGGTGAATATAGGTAGATAATTGTATCTCCTGGAGAGACTTGCGGTTTGCGGGCTGCCTTGACTCGTATATTCTACTTTGTAGGTTTATTTATCAGTTATTGTACTGTATATAGTGTTAGTGTTGCGTTGCTTTTGTACCATGTCAACAGTGATTGTTGTACGGCTAAGATCAGAGCCTTGCGAAAGTTTCGGCCCCTGACCTTTCACATTTCGCCCACATTTCAGGCTTCAAACATAAATATATTATAATTAAATTTTTTGTCCAAGAATCAACAACAAGTGGGACAAATCGTAAAGTGAAACGAAATGGTATTGATAAATTTAAAACTTTTTTAACAAATAAAAACTGAAAAGGGGGGTGCAATATTATTCGACCCTTGCGTAATACTTAGTAGCGCACCTTTTGTTACAATTTCTGCTGCAAGTCGCTTGGGGTGATTGTCTCTATTCAGTTTTCAACATTTCGGAGACTGGATTATTTCCCATTCTCCTTGCAAAAACACTCGTACTCAGTGAGGTTGGATGGCGAGCGTTTGTGAACAGCAGTCTTCAGCTCTTTCCAAGATTTCTCGATTGGATTCAGGTCTGGACTTTGACTTGGCCCATTCTAAACACTGGATACGTCTATTTGTGAACCAATTTCCATTGTAGAATTTGCATTATGTTTTGGAATCATTGTCCTGTTGGAAGATAAATCTCCGTCCCAGTCTCAGGGTCTTTTGCAGACTCCACGGTTTTCTTCCAGAATAGGTCCTGTATTTTGGCTCCAACATCTTCCTCAATTTTAGCCATCTTCCCTGTCCTGCCTGAGAAAAGCGGCCCAAACCATGATGCTGCCACCACCATGTTTGACAGTGGGGATGGTGTGTTCAGGGTGATGAGCTGTGTTGCTTTTACGCCAACATATCGTTTGCCTTGTGGCAAACAAGTTTGATTTTGGTTTCATTGACCAGAGGGCACCTTCTCCACATGTTGGTGTGTCTCCAGGTGGCTTGTTTTTTTTATTTATATTATATTATTATATTTTTTATTTTTTTATATATCCCCCCCCCCCCCCTTATCCCCCCCCTTTTTTTATTTTTTTTTTTTTTTTTTTGCCCCCCCCCCCCCTTTTCTTTTTATTTTTGGCAACTTAACGAGAATTTTATGGATCTCTTTGAGAATGGCTTTCTTCTTGCCACTCTTCCATAAAGGCCAGATTTGTGCAGTGCACGACTGATTGTTGTCCTATGGACAGCTCTCCCACCTCAGCTGTAAGTTTTCTGCAGTTCATCCAGAGTGATCATGGGCTCTTGGCTGGCAATCTCTGATCAGTCTTCTCCCTTGTTTCAGATGATAGTTTGGAGGGACGGCCGGATCTTGGTAGATTCAGCATCGGTCTGTTACTCTTCCATGTTCAATATATTGCTGGCACAGTTCTCTTGAGATGTTTAAAGCTTGGAAATCTTTTTGTATCCAAAACCGGCTTTAAACTTCTCCACAACAGTATCTCGGACCTGCCTGGTGTGTTCCCTTTGTCTTCATGGTTCTATCTGCGCTTTAAATCAGAACCCCTGAGACGATTCAAAGAGCAGGTGCATTTATACGGAGACTTGATTACACACAGGTGCATTCTATTATCATCATCAGTCTAGCCGCTAAAGAGATTAAACAACTCTTCCTGAGGCTGCACCCCCGCAAAGCTCCTGGCCCGGACCACGTGTCTCCGGCCACTCTGAGACACTGCGCCAGTGAGCTTACTCCTGTGTTCACGGACATTTTCAACTCCTCTCTGCAGTCCTGCCATGTCCCGGCCTGCTTCAAATCCTCCATCATTGTCCCCGTCCCGAAGAAGCCCAGGATCACAGGACTCAATGACTACAGACCTGTAGCACTTACGTCTGTCGTCATGAAGTCATTTGAACGCCTGGTTCTCTCCCATCTCAAGTCCCTCACCTCCCCCCTCCTGGACCCCCTGCAGTTCGCCTACAGAGCCAACAGATCTGTAGACGACGCCATTAACCTGGCCCTCCACCACATCCTACAGCACCTGGACTCCCCGGGGACCTACGCCAGGGTCCTGTTCGTGGACTTCAGCTCTGCCTTCAACACAATCCTGCCATCCCTGCTCCAGGACAAGCTCTCCCAGCTCAACGTGCCCGATTCCACCTGCAGGTGGATCACTGACTTCCTGACGGACAGGAAGCAGCGAGTGCGTCTGGGGAAGAATGTCTCGGACCCTTGGATTATAAATACAGGAGCCCCACAGGGCTGTGTTCTTTCTCCCCTGCTCTTCTCCCTGTACACCAACCACTGCACCTCCAGCCACGACTCCGTGAAGCTGATCAAGTTCGCGGACGACACCACCCTCATTGGACTCATCTCCAACAACGATGAGTCCGCCTACAGGAGGGAGGTGGACCGGCTGGTGTCCTGGTGCAGTGGTAACAACCTGGAGCTGAACGCCCAGAAGACAGTGGAGATGATTGTGGACTTCAGGAAGAGCACTGTCCCCCCCGCCCCCACCCTCCGTGATGGACTCCCCCATCACCTCTGTGGAGTCCTTCCGTTTCCTGGGCACCACCATCACCCAGGACCTCAAGTGGGAGCCGACCATCAGCTCCCTCATCAAGAAGGCCCAGCAGAGGATGTACTTCCTGCGGCAGCTCAGGAAAGCCAAGCTGCCTGCACAGATGTTGGTGCAGTTCTACACGGCCATCATCGAGTCCATCCTCACCTCCTCCATCACCGTGTGGTTCGCTGGAGCCACAGTCAGGGACAAACAGAGACTACAGCGCATTGTGCGCTCTGCAGAGGAAGTGATCGGCCGCAGCCTTCCATCGCTGCAGGACCTGTACGTCGCCCGAGCTCGAGGCCGGGCTGGTCGTATCACAGCCGACCCCTCTCACCCTGCACATGGACTATTCCAACCACTCCCCTCAGGCAGGAGGCTGCGGTCCATCAGGACTAGAACCTCCCGCCACAAGAACAGTTTCTTCCCCTCTGCTGTTGGACTCTTGAACACTTCTTAACCTGTCCCCCCGCCCTTTATAAAGTCACTTTACTGCCCATCATACGTCACTTTACTTCACTGTACTGCTGTCACCTTACATTGTGTGCACCATGTGCACTTGTATATTGTAAATAGTAACTGTAACTCTATTTTAAATTTAAATTTATTCTTTAGAAGTGTTTTTTATTCTTATTTTTATTATCTCTTTTTGACTGTTGCACTGAGCCAAAGCAATTTCCAAGTCTGTGACCTCCCGTTACTTACGTTGGCAATAAAAATGATTCTGATTCTGATTCTGATTCTGATTCTTTAGACCTGCTTTAGTCCTGCTTTAGACCTACTTTAGTCCTGCTATAGACCTGCTTTAGACCGGCTTTGGACCTGCTATAGACCTGCTTTAGACCTGCTTTAGTCCTGCAGTAGACCTAGTCCAGGTCCTTGTCTGACCTGGTCTGGTTCCCTCAGTGTCGGACGGTGCAGATCCGGATCCTCGGGGAAGAGGGCGTCCCGGTGCAAGTGGACGGAGAGGCCTGGATCCAACCACCAGGGTTCATCAGGATCCTCCACAAGAACCGGACGCAGACACTGACCAGAGATCAGGTAAGGCCAGAGACAAGGGAGAGACCAGAGAATAGGTAGGACCAAACACCAGAGAAAGACCAGTTAAGACCAGAGGCCAGGTAAGACCAGAGAACAGGTAAGAAGACCAGTTAAGACAAGACTAGAGACTAGAGACCAGGTAAGACCAGAGACCAGAGAGAGGGCAGAGACGAAGGTATGACCAGAGACCAGACACCAGACCAGAAAGAAACCCTGACCAGAGAGTCACAGTTTGGGTCTTATCTGTAAAATGTCCTCTCCCCCTCTTTGCCCCCCCACCCTCTCTCCATTTCTCTTCATTTTTTCTCTCTACCTGTCTCACTCCCCCCTCTCATCCCGCTTTTTCTTCCCTCCTCCCTTGCCCCCTTACCCCCCACCCCTCCCTCCCTCCCTCCCCTCCCTCTCTCCCCTCACTCGCTCTCTCCCCCTCTCTTTCCCCATCTCCCCCTATCCCTCCCCGAATTTTCTTACCCACCTATCTCCCCCTCCCTCTCTTCCTCTCTCTCCCCCTCCCTTTCTCACTCCCTTCCCCCCTCTACCCTCTCCCCTCTCTTTCCCAGGCCTTTGAGAACACCCTAAAGTCCTGGGAGGAGAGACAGAGGAGTGAGTTCCTGCGTCCTCAGTCTCAGACAGAGATCCTCTCTGAAGACGAGGCCTCACTCATCAGCGACTTTGGACAGACAGCAGGAGCCCTGATCCACAGGTGAGTCTGCTCCTACTGCTATACTCCTCCTCTCCTCTCTCTATGCTCCTCTCCTCCCTCTGCTCCTCTCTCCTACTCTCTGCTCTCTCTCCTCCTCTCTGCTCCTCTCTGCTCCTCTCTCCTCCTCCCTCTGCTCTCTCGCCTCCTCTTTTCTCCTCTCTCCTCCCTCTGCTCCTCTCTCCTCCTCCCTCTGCTCTCTCGCCTCCTCTTTTCTCCTGTCTCTTCTCTCTGCTCTCCTCTATGCCCCTCTCTCCTCCTCTCTCTTCTCTCTGCTCTTTTCTCTCATCTCTCTCTCCTCTCTGCTCCTCCCTCTCCTCTCTGCTCCTTTCTCTTCTCCTCTTTCTCTCCTCTATCTCCTCTCTCTGCTCCTGTCTCTTCCTCTCTCCTCTCTCTCTGTGCTCTCCCCTCCTCTCTGGTCCTCCCGTGCTGAGCAGTAGGGAGGTGGCAGATCTGCATTCACAGTTGGAGCAGGAGTTGGCTCACACTGTCAATGCGTGAGCCAACTCCTCTCTCTCCTCCTCTGTCTTATCTCTGCTCCTCTCTCCTCCTCTCTGCTCCTCTCTCTGGTGTCTCTCCTCTTTTCTCCTCTCTCTCTTCTCTCCTCCTCTCAGCTCCTCCCATACTGACCTCCCCCTCTCTCTCCAGTATTAGGGAGGTGGCAGAGCTGCATTCACAGTTGGAGCAGGAGTTGGCTCATGCTGTCAATGCGTCATCTAAAGCTATGGACGTGGTCTACAAAGACAGCAGGAGCCCAGGGGTGAGTGTGGCCTCCTTTCTCTCTCTCTCCCATCCGCTTTCCTCCTTCATAGCCTCTCTCTCTCTCTCCTCTCTTCCTCTCCCCACTCCTCTCTCCTCTCAACTCCTCTTCCCCCCTATTATTTCTCCCTCTCCTCTCCTATTCTCTCCACTTCCCTCTCTCTCTCCTCCTCTTTCCTCCCCTCTCCTCTCTCTCCTCTCCTCCTGTCCCCTTCTCTCTCTAACTCCTTCTGCTCCTCCTCCAGGCACTGAGGAGGTGCGTGGTGCTGCAGATGGTCACTAATGTCAAAGCTCTTCTCAGTGAAACGGAGCTGCTGCTGTCGGGAAACATGTCTATGGTAAAACCGCTGCTTTAAAGTCCTGTCCCTCAGCTTTAAAGTCCTGTCCCTCAGCTTTATCTCTCTGGTCTCCTGTCTCTGCAGCAGTTGGAGCGCCCTCACCAGGAGCAGCTGTCCTCTGCTCTGTCTTCTCTGTCCAATCAGATCAGCCGACTGTCAGAGGTGTCCTGGCTCTGTCCCACTATTGACCAATCAGACTCAGAGGTACTACTACCACTACTACTCCTGCCACTGCTACTGCTACTACTCATGCTACTACTACTACTACTACTACTACTACTGCTGCTGCTACTACTGCTGCTGCTACTGGTGACCTCTTGTCCCTTCTCCTCAGAGTGCTCTCTCAGATGTGTCCAAAAGGGGGCGAGCTGCTAAATTTCGTCTTGTTCCGAAGTTTAAGAAAGAGAAGAACAACAGGAACAAGGAGACCAGCGGCAGCTTGTCTCTGCCGGGTAAGAAATCTGTGACCCCTGACCTCTGAAATGTGACCCCTGACCTCTGACCTCCGTTGCAGTGCACTTGTGGAGTCCAGAGGAGGTGGGGCAGTGGCTGGAGGCTCTGTCTCTGTCCGAGTATAAGGAGATCTTTGTGAGACACGACGTCAGAGGAGCAGAACTACTGGGACTAGAGCGCAGGGACCTAAAGGTAAGACCAGGACAAGGACCAGGACTAAGACCATAAAGATAGGTTCCTGGTCCAATCTTTGTCTCCAAGCTGATGGTCCTGACCTGTTCCTGACCCGGTCCTAATGGTTCTGTTGGCCTCTTCCAGGACCTGGGCGTTTCCAAAGTGGGCCACATGAAGAGGATTCTCCAGGGCATCAAGGATCTACACCGCAGCAGCAGTGCCAGTGAGGCCTGAGGTCAGAGACCAAAAAGAGACCAGAGAGAGTCCAGAGACTAGAGAGAGGACTATTGTACACTATTGTACAGTTAGAAACATAGTTTCTGTACTCATTTGTTTGTTATGTTCCAGATCCTTCTGCTGTTGACCTCAAGGACTCTCCAGGACTCTCCAAAACTCTCCTGGACTCTCCAGAACTCTTCAGGACTCTCCTGGACTCTCCAGAACTCTCCAGTGCCTTAATCCGATCCAGACTGAACCTGTATTTTTTAGAACATCTCTTACTTCTCTGTCGTCTGCTGTGGTCCACACTGGGACCTCAGCTCAGCCCAGTTAGTGTGTAATTTTAAAGCAGGGGTCTGTAACAGCGAGCATGGATTTTAATGTCCTGTCCCCCTCTTTGCTGGGGGCTAATATTGTCTCCTGACTCACCACCCTCTGACCCCTCTTTTCCAAACATAAAGTGTGACCTGGAGGTGACATCACGGGTGACTTCACGGCAAGGGATATTGTCAAGCTCAGCTCAGTACTAGCTATCTCTGTCATGTGATCTGACCTAGCAACAGGATGTAGACCTGGCAGGCCCAGGCCCGGGTTAAGTGTCATTAAATGTCCTCTTTTTATATCCACTTGGTTTTGGGCCTTGTAGTGTTATATAGAAACATTATCACATGATCAAATGATATTATATTTTCATAATAACAGTAACTTTAAAGCTTTATGAGGCTAAAGTTACGGACCCCAGCTTTTAACAGGTGTAATTTCTGCGACAAAAGTTACAGACCCCAGCTTTAAAAGCAGCATCACAGACAAGTGAGAGCTGACCTCTTGTTTCTCCTGGTCGTGACGGACAGCAGTCTCCACCAATCACAGCCTTTCCCTTTAAAAACTACACTGTGACCAATCCGAGAGCTGGACACTGTGACCAATCAGAGAGCTGGACTTTGTGCATATTTTTGTATAAAAATGGTATTTATGAATTTGTGTGACGCAAGTAAACGACAGGACGCAGAACAGAGCACCTCATGTCCCCCAGAGAGAGAGACCAGAAGGAGACCAAAGAGAGAGACCAGAGAGAGACCAGAGAGACCAGATGGAGACCAAAGAGAGAGACCAGAGAGAACCATACACTGTATAATATAGCGGCAGAGGACACTGAAGGGCAAAAGCAGGACTGAGAGACCAGGGAGTCCTCTGAACCAATCATAGTGGGGCTAGAGGTTGTAGGTGGGGCCAGGGGTTGTGGACAGGTGCTCTCTCCTGTTTGTCCTTGATTTTTATGTTAAACTTTGTAGAGTCTGCCTTAATCTTTCTTTGGACCAAACTCTCATATCTGTTTTTTTTATTCTGGACCAGCTACAGATATCGACAGTTTCATCCACATTGTTCTGGGACATGGGACCGAGTGGGGGCGCATTATTCTGATACACCACTAGAGGGCGCACGGTGTACATACATGGCTCATACACAGCACACGCTGGAAAATAGACACACTGTACACACGCACACACATATTAACACACACTGAACACACGCACATTCTCTCTGATCGATTGTGCATGTTATTAGTGGTGGAGAAACTTGAACACCAGGAGTTAACCTGCTCAGGCACAGGGAGAACGTGCAAAATCCATTCAGGAAGGCCATGTCTGAAGCTGGAGTTGAACCCTGCACCTTCTGCGAGGAGTGCTAAGTACTCACTAGTGAATTGTTTTAATACCCTGCAAATTATATTTGTATCAATATCAGGCTGTCGTATTATTCTGATGGACATTTAGCCCCGCCTCCCCAATTCACGCCACAGACTGATTAGCATAACCTGCTGACAGCATTTACAGTTTTTCTCAGTCACTTTGGTCCATTTCTCACATCAGACTTAAAGTTCTCAAAACTATTGTTTTTGTTTTTTTTACAACTTTGTGTTTAAAAACGTTGTGCCCGAAGGCTTTGACGGCTGGGTATTTAAAACATATCAAAGATCTGCCTTTCCTCAACGTCCCATAGTTTATGTTTAAAAGAGTCCAGAGTAGGACAGCCCCACAGTCTTGGAATTTTGTTTAGTAATTTATTAACAAATAAAATGGGAGAGCGGTCCAGTGCCCGACTTGTTGGGTGCTCTATGCCCACATGGATCAGTGTTTTGTTCCGTGTTTGGATTTGGGTTCTTTTGATGATTGGACACTGGGATTGGAGAGCCTTTAGGAGTAGTCCATGCAGCAGCTTGTAGCCGTAACACATCACTGCAAAGTTTCTCCTTTGTTTCAATATGGTCAATTTTAGTTCTTTGTAGTCTTCCTCAGCGACTGGTTGAGTGTAGGAGTACTGTAGTATGGTCCTAATGGCTCGACGTTGGAGTTTCTCCAGGCGGTTAGATTGTGTTACATAGAGAGCAGCCCAGACAGGTGATGCATATTCAAAGTGAGGCAGGATATAGCTTTTGTACAGTCTTGTTAATAGGGCCGTGTCATGAACAGAGAGGGAGAGTCTACGGAGGAGGAACAGTTGAGAAGCCACCTTTCTGCAAATGGTCAACTTGTTTGTCAAATTTGAGGTCATTTGTGAACCAGAATCCCAGATGGAGGTGTTCTTTGACCATTTCGACTGGACGGTCCATGAATTGAATGACAGTGTTAGTACATTGGACTTTGGAAAACAAAAATTCCTTTGTTTTACTTGGGTTGAATTGCATACCCCAAGTTTTAGCCCACTGAGCAATGTCCAGGAGATCTTTATTTGCTTTGTCTACCATTTGCGTCCTGTCTACCAACAGGACGCATTTCAGAGAGTACGTTGTCAATTTTAACAGCCTGTTGTCTATTGGTGAGATAGTTCACAATCCAGCGAAAGAGCTTTCCACGGATTCCGTTTGGTTCAACCTTCACAACATTGGGTCATGTGTGACATCATCGCAGCAGTTTCTCCTTTGAACACATCCTTTCGTACATGTATCAGTTACTTTCATACAATTCTCTGCTGTTTTATAACATTATCATTTGCTTCTGTCCTGTCAGTCAGAATGAAACATACTTATGACTTCTGAATAGTCATTCACTATAAAACCAACAGTCCTAATTTCATCGCTTTGGTCATCACATACAAAATTGTTGAATTAGTTCTCAAAATCATATTTGTCAAGCTAATTTCATACATTCCTTTATCTTTTTTTTCCTGAAAATATTTCCTAAATTGAACAATGTCACTCAGGTGTCACTCAGCTTCACTCATGAGGAGGTGTGTGTTATATTGTTTATGTTTGTCACAGTTCTATGTTTGTTCTATATAAATACTGTAAGTGACTGTATTTTTGTTGCACAATGCTGTAGAATTTCAACGAGCATATGCAGCAAATATGTGAAAGACATGGAGTACACAGACATATATACATACACATACATACTGTACAGTACATACATACATGTACACAAATACATACATACAGTACATACATACATACATACTGTACAGTACATACATACATGGATACATACATACATACATACATGTACACACCCCACCCTACCCTACCCCACCCTACCCTACCCTCCCCTACCCTACCCCACCCTACCCTACCCCACCCTACCCTACCCTACCCCACCCTACCCTACCCTACCCCACCCTACCCTACCCTACCCCACCCTACCCTACCCTGCCCTACCCTACCCCACCCTACCCTACCCCACCCTACCCTACCCTACCCTACCCCACCCTACCCTACCCTACCCCACCCCTACCCTACCCTGCCCTACCCTACCCCACCCTACCCTACCCCACCCTACCCTACCCTACCCCACCCTACCCTACCCTACCCTACCCCCCACCCTACCCTACCCCACCCCTACCCTACCCTGCCCTACCCTACCCCACCCTACCCTACCCCACCCTACCCTACCCTACCCTACCCTACCCCCACTCTACCCTACCCTACCCTACCCTGCCCTACCCTACCCACCCTACCCTACCCCACCCTACCCTACCCCCTACCCCCACCCTACCCTACCCTACCCTACCCCTACCCTACCCTACCCCACCCTACCCTACCCCACCCTACCCTACCCTGCCCACTGAGGGCAGAGGCAGAACATTAAACAAAGACAAGGCTTAGATTCAGAGTTTGTATTTGATTCGTGTTCAAAACAGTTTTACATTTGAAACATTAACAATGAACATTCAGACTGGAAGACTTCCTCAACCAGCCCCGGCAAGTCCTGGTCCAAGTCCAGGTCCAGACCGAGGAGTAGACCCAGACCTAAACCTAGGTCCTGGTGCAGGTCTGTGCCGTTCAGCAGGTTTGAAAACAGTTTTAAATGAGTGCTCAGAGTTTTTCCTCCGTGTGCGCAGGGGTCAGAAGTTGGGGGTCGGGGGTTGGTCAGAGTGGGGCAGGTGTGGCCTCAGTGATTGTGTTGAAGTATTGAGCTTTAGTTTAAAGCTGGGGTACCTGACTTTTCTGTCTGAAGAATATGATTTCAAGATGTGACCTCAATTTTAAAGTCACAGACCCCAGCTTTAGTGGCGGACAGTGCGCTGGGTCATTGGGCAGTTTGAACAAAGGCAGTGATTCCAGGTTTCTTCCCATCGACCTGAAGCAGACTGAAGCAGACTGAGGCAGACTGAAGCAGACTGAAGCAGACTGAGGCAGACTGAAGCAGACTGAGGCAGACTGAGGCAGACTGAAGCAGACTGAGACAGACTGAAGCAGACTGAAGCAGACTGAGGCAGACTGAAGCAGACTGAGGCAGACTGAGGCAGACTGAAGCAGACTGGGGCAGACTGAAGCAGACTGAGGCAGACTGAAGCAGACTGAGACAGACTGAAGCAGACTAAGGCAGACTGAGACAGACTGAAGCAGACTGAGACAGACTGAAGCAGACTGAAGCAGACTGAGGCAGACTGAAGCAGACTGAGGCAGACTGAAGCAGACTGAGACAGACTGAAGCAGACTAAGGCAGACTGAGACAGACTGAAGCAGACTGAGACAGACTGAAGCAGACTGAAGCAGACTGAGGCAGACTGAGGCAGACTGAGGCAGACTGAGGCAGACTGAAGCAGACTGAAGCAGACTGAGGCAGACGGAGGCAGACTGAAGCAGACTGAGGCAGACTGAGACAGACTGAGACAGACTGAAGCAGACTGAAGCAGACTGAGACAGACTGAAGCAGACTGAAGCAGACTGAGGCAGACTGAGGCAGACTGAGGCAGACTGAGGCAGACTGAGGCAGACTGAAGCAGACTGAGGCAGACTGAGGCAGACTGAAGCAGACTGAGGCAGACTGAGACAGACTGAGACAGACTGAAGCAGACTGAGGCAGACTGAAGCAGACAGACAGACTGAAGCAGACTGAAGCAGACTGAGACAGACTGAGGCAGACTGAGGCAGACTGAAGCAGACTGAAGCAGACTGAAGCAGACTGGGACCTCTAGCACAGAGCAGCCTTGCGTCACTTGTGTCTTGCTTGAGGACACGATGGCGGGACTCTGGAGTAGAACCCTCTGCTCTTTTCAGTCTGGATCAGTCTGGAACAGTCTGTCAGTGTCGGCAAACACAAAGAATGAACCTTACATCCACACAGGTCTCTCTTAGACCAGCTGAAGTCCAAGTCTGGGTCTAGTCCTTGGATTTAGGACTATGTTTTGTCCTGGTTTCAGCCTACTATTGGGTTCTGAAATAATAACAGTTTAATCCTGGTCTTGGTCCTGGTCTTGGTCTAGGTCCAAAGGCTCCACTTCCTGAAGACATTTCTTGTCGATTTGGTTGGATGCAAACAAAGTCACGTGACGGTGAAAGCTCAGCTGTGGTTGGACGAAGGAAGCAGGAAGCAAAAAGCAGCGTGGGGCAAAAAGTGCAGAAAGGAGAAGGTTAAAGCTCAAAATGGCCGCTGCGTCTGTGGACAGAAGACCGACGCATGGACCGAGCCGCTCTGACCGTTCAGGAGACCGGAGACTTGGGTTTAGACCATAGACTGTATCTGAAGAGTGTGACATCACCGCTGTGTGACATCACCACAGCGGTGATGTCACACTATCACCACAGTGTGACATCATCACTGTGTGACATCACCACAGTGTGTGTGAATTTTATCCCAAAATGATGATGTCATACAAACGTTTCTGAGCTAGAGGAGTTTACATTTACATGTCAGTCAATAGAAGCCAGAGAGAGGAGCCAAACTTCACCATGAGCACTTTTGGGCTTCATTGAGCTAGCGGGTTAGCATTGAGCTAGTGGCTTAGCATAGTGCTAGCGAGTTAGCATTAAGCTAGCAGGTTAGCATAGCACATCTGTTTACAGTCTGTGGTTTAAACCGGAGCTCAGGGAAGTAACGAGACTGTTCAAACGCTGCTACTTTCATGTTTTTCTGATGATTAGAAAAACACATTTGTGCAAAAACAGCAGAAACAGAGAGAGACCAGTAAGAGAGACCAGTGAGAGACTAATGAGAGAGAGAGACCAGTGAGAGAGACTAGAGAGAGAGAGACCAGTGAGAGAGACTAGAGAGAGAGAGACCAGTAAGAGGGACCAGTGAGAGACTAATGAGAGAGAGAGACCAGTAAGAGGGACCAGTGAGAGAGACTAGAGAGAGACCAGAGAGGATTAGGAACATGTCATAGACATTAGAGGTCAACTCTGACAACTGGGGAATGGAGACTTCTGCTCGGGGTCAGAAGTCAGAGTTCATCTCCTCTCCTCCTTCACACTAACACTCGGTCCTGAACCAGAGCGACTCGGCTCCAGTTCAAATGTTCGTTTCAAGTTTTTACGTTTGCGTCGTCTCCTGCATTTTGCATAAAACGTCCAGCGGAGTGTCGCCTTTTTATGACATCATCAGAAGGAGCCGAGAAGAATATGGGTGGATGCTTTGTACAAGTGGGTTCAGACGATTCAAGTCCGAGTCCAGGAGCCCAGGGAGGAGGTGCAAACCGGAGCTGGAGAAGGAGGAGGAGGAGCGAGGGAGGCGCAGGCCAGAGCTGAGAGGAGGGGAAGGAGGAGGCAAGAAGGAGGTGCAGACCAGAGCTACAAGGAGGAGGAGCAAGGAAGGTGCAGACCAGAGCTGAGAGGGGAAGAAGGAGGGAGGGAGGTGGAGACTGGAGCTGAGAGGACCCAAGAGGAGGAGAAAGGGAGGTTCAGAGCAGAACAACGAGGTGGAGGAGAGCGGGAGGTGCACATCGGAGCTGAAAGGAGCAAAGAGGAGGAGAGAGGGAGGTGCAGACCAGAGCTGGAGGCACAAAGAGGAGGAGAGAGGGAATTGCAAGCCAAGCTGAGAGGGGGAGAGAGGAAAGTGCAGACTGGAGTTGGGGAAGCAAGGAGAAGGAGAGAGGAAAGTGCAGACTGGAGTTGGGGAAGCAAGGAGAAGGAGAGAGGGAAGTGCAGACCAGAGCTGAGAGGAGGAGGAGGAGAGAGGAAGAGGAGAGAGCTGTATATCATGGAAAGACAGACGGAGAGAAACTGATTGAAGGCAAAGTCAGTCTTGTGCTAACTGCTAAAGGCTATTTGCTAACTGCTAGCTGCTAAAGGCTAACTGCTAAAAGCTAACTGCTAACTAAAGACATCTGTTGAGTTCCTTCAGATCATCATGTGTGAACAATGACCTTTAACATTTCTCTGGTCTCCATCGGGTCTCTCTCTCTCTGGTCTCCTTCTGTTCTGGGGTCTCTCTCTGGTCTCCCTATGTTCTCTGATCGCCATCGGGTCTCTCTCTCTGGTCTCCCTTGGGTCTCTGGTATGGCTCTGGTCTCCATCTGGTCTCTGGTCTCCCTCGGTTCTCTGGTCTCCATCTGGTCTCTATCTCTGGTCTCCTTCTGTTCTCTGGTCTCCCTCGGGTATCGCTCTGGTCTCCCTCTGGTCTCTGGTCTCCTGGTCATATGTTCTTGTGGACGGCTATGATTGCTGGGCCTCCACTTGGCTCCTCTCGCTCTGGTCCTCCTGGTTCTCCTGGTCCTCCTGGTGCTGGGAGATGACTCTCATACTTCTCCCGCTGTTCAGAGTGGGGCTCCTGGAGGATTTCAGCTTCTCCTCCAGCTCATGGAGAGACGGCTCCTTATACATGCACACTGTGGACACAGGAGGCCATGGGAGGATAAGGGAGGACATAGGGGGACAAGGGAGAACATGTTAAGCCTAGCGTACATCGACAGAGAAACTGGGGACAACTAGTTGCAAGGCGGCTTTTGGCAACTGAGAGTAGATGGTGGGAGATGATCAGTTGCCAAAATCGGTCGATGTGCGCGCTCTTACAACTGGAGATGATCAGTCGGTCTCCAGTTTCAGTCAGTTGCCCGTGTTCTACTTTTCGGCAACTAGTTGTCCTCAGTTTCGGAGATATGACCCGATGTGCGCGCTCCATGCGCCGCTCCGACAACGTGTGTGTATTGCGAGCCCTCTAAAGTTTATGTCAGAAAACACACTGTAGTTGAGGCCAGTTGCTGTCGATGTACGCGCTGTTATTCCCGAGACTGGTCTGCTACTGGGAGTTGCCCGTTTTCGTCAGATTGTCGATGTGTGCGGGGCAGCAACTCATATGCGACGGATATAATCAGTTGCCAGTCCGATGTACGCTAAGCTTTAGAGCTCTGTCTGTCACTGTAAAGCTGGGGTCTGTAACTTTCAGACCAACATAAATATGCATTAAACCCATGTCTCTGGGTCTGGCTCTAAAACAGTAGCTTCTGTTCGTCACTAGTTTCACATCATGTATTTGTGATATCACATCTTTAGATCAAAGTGAGAACCACCCTCTCTCAGAAATCAGCTCTCAGCCCAAAGAGGCAGATAGTGACTCACAGGGATCTGACACTCTTTCTGTTCAAACTACATGTGTTATTTATGAGACTAAAGTGACCAGAGAGAGAGACCAGAGAGAGAGACCAGAGAGAGAGACCAGAGAGAGAGACCAGAGAGGGAGACCAGAGAGAGTACCTTGTAAGGGGCGTGGGACAAAGTGGGAGCAGGGCTTGGTCTTTTTCACACGGTTCCCCTTCATGATGGTTCCTTCCTTGTTCAGACCCAGGAACCATGCACGCCCAGACTCGTGCTGACGATACACGGTGGACGAGTAGATCACATAGTAGTTCTCAAACACCGACTCTTTAAATTTACATTCAGGGGTGAAGATGTCCTGTAGGGGGCACCAGAGAGACTGTCAGAGACTAGAAAGTAGAGAGCAGAGAGGGACCAGAGACCAGAGAGAGAGACCAGGGAGTGGCCAGAGAGAGACCAGATAGAGAGACCAGGACCTGGATGAGTTTGTTGGTTCTTACAGATGAATAGAGGAATCCTTCTGCGTTCATGGCCACATACAGCGATGCCTTCACGCCCTGAATCGCCACCACACGCAGCCCCACGGGGATCAAGTTAAAGAGCGCTGCGAGAGAGGGCAGGGGTCAGAGAGTAGGGGTCAGAGGGCAGGTGTCAGAGAGCAGGGGTCAGAGGGCAGGGGTCAGAGAGCAGGGGTCAGAGGGCAGGGGTCAGAGAGCAGGAGTCAGAGGGCAGGGGTCAGAGAGTAGGGGTCAGAGGGCAGGTGTCAGAGAGCAGGGGTCAGAGAGCAGGGGTCAGAGGGCAGGGGTCAGAGAGCAGGAGTCAGAGAGCAGGAGTCAGAGGGCAGGTGTCAGAGAGCAGGAGTCAGAGAGCAGGAGTCAGAGGGCAGGTGTCAGAGGGCAGGGATCAGAGGCTTCTAACATGGTCCCAGGTCCAACTCACTGTTGTCACTGGTCTCGTCCTTGCTGCCTCTGATGGTTCCGTCCTGCAGCATCTGGAGATAGAAACCCTGCTCCGAGAAGAGACGCGTGACGATGCCCTTCAGCTGCTCCCCTGAAACCACACACCTGGTTTACACTTTGTTTAGTCCTGGTTTAGACCTGGCTTATATATGGTTTACACCTGGTTTAGTCCTGGTCTAGACCTGGTTCATGAGCTTACCTATGCGCTTGCTAGCCGCTCACCTGTGCGTCAGCTAACCGCTCACCTGTGCGTTTGCGCTGTGTGGGCTTCTCTCGCCGTGGACACACCTGGATCTTGGCGCACAGACGCAGCAGGCGCTGTGGGCACAGCTGCCGCGGGCGGCGGGGTTCTTTGCTCGGGCTTGATCGAATCTTATTGGTCGGTTTCCGCTCTGCAACAGTCTCTCGTGCCGCTCGCTTCTGTCGGATCAGCGAGCTCGCGATTGCTGCCGCCATGCTACTGCTAATGCAACCACTAATAACACTGCTAGTTCTACTGTTAATGCTCCGGCTTATGCTATCACTATTGCTATTACTGCCACCAAGGCCACTGCTAATACTATTACTACCGCTAATGCTAACAAGAATGCTAATGCTAAGACTCAGTCAGCAGCTGATTTCACTTAAAAAAACACAAAAAAAAAAACAGTTTGAAAATAATACAAAATATACAAAAGGTATGAAGAGTGTCTTGGTCCAGTCAGCTTCAGGGTTCCAGAAAGTCATCAGCCAATCACAGGTAGTTTTGTTGGTGTTGACGATGCCTCTTCTCGGCTAATCAGAACAACTCGTAGTCCCGAATCAGCATCAGGACCATCTCACAAACAGCTGTGTCCTTTTCCTCTGCTTTAAATCCACCAACATCTCTTGGAGTCACATGACCTCTTCTCAGCCAATCAGCTGCTCAGCTTCACTTTAAAATGAGTCCAACTAAAATATGATAAAAAAATGTTCTAGCTAGTGTTTGGTCCAGTCCTGGTTTAGTCCTAGTTTAGTCCCAGTTTAGTCCTGGTTTAGTCCGGATTTAGACCTGGTTTGGAACTGTTTTAATCCTGCTCCCCTCCTTTTTCAGTCCTTGTTTATACCTGATTTATTACTGGTTTAGTCCTGCTTTAGTCCGGATTTAGTTCTGGTTTAGTCCTGGTTTAGACCTGGTTTTGTGCTGGTTCAGTCCTTTTTCAGTCCGTTGTGTGTAAAAGCGGTTGACAGCTGCAGCTTCTTCTTCTTAAATAATTCAAACTGATGCAGGAAGAAGAAATCTCTCTGGTCCAAAAACAGAATCTGAAGAAGCAAATCCGAGTCCTGAGACAGAGTCCTGAGACCGAGTTCTGAGACAGAGTCTTGAGACCGAGTCCTGAGACCAGACTACTGACCTGAGTCCTGACTCACACCGAGTCCTGGCTCAGACAGAGTCTTGTCTCAGACCGATCGGTGCTGAGGCTGGTAGAGGAGGACCGTATCAAACACATTTATTTTTCATAAACCTTTACGTCATGTTTAAAGACACAAGACTCAGACACACTGAGTTTGAGACCAGAAGGAAGACACAGAAGGGGCGGGGGTTCGTGAGGAGGACCAGGACCAGATCTGTGAGGAAGACTAGAACCAGGACCAGGTCTGTAACGAGGAGCAATACAAATAAACCAACTTCATATGTCATTCAAAAGAACACTGTTTTGTGATGTCTTTAGTCCTAGGACTAAGACTTGGACCACAAAGTCGGTTCAGTCCTGGTTCAGACCTGGGTTTAAGATGAAAATAGCTGTGACCCAGTTCCAGCTGCAGTGACAGGCAATGCCAGCAGAGGGCACACACACACACACACACTAGGATCACAGAGATCCACATGGTGAGTGTGACACAAACATCTGAGCAAGAGGAGTTCACTTTTACATGGAAATCAATAGGAGCCAGAAAGAGGAACCAAACTTCACAATGAGCACTTCCATACTGGGCTTCTTAGAGCTAGTGGATTGGTCCTGTCTCTTGGGCCTGTCTCTACTGTACAGTAGGTAGAGATTAGAATGCTCTCTGCTCCTGATTATCTCACCCTGGGAGTGGGCGTGGCTGTGGGCGTGGCCCTCTGTCTCCTCTTCTTCGTCTGATTGGTCGTTGGACACAAATTTCCGGAACATACCACAGTATTCTGCCAGAGGCATGATGGGAGTCTTTAGGATGGTGATAGAGGTGCTGACGCTGCGCTGTGATTGGACGAGACCTGATTTGACATGTTTCATGGTTTCAAAGCACTCTACTCAACTCTACCCTACCCTACCCAACCCTAATCTACTCTACACCTACCCTACTCTACACTACTCTACCCTACTCTACTCTACTCTACACCTTCCTTACACCTAAGGAACGGTGGCTGAGTGGATAGCACTCTCGCCTCTCAGCAAGAAGGTCCTGGGTTCGAATCCCGGTTGGAACAGGGTCTTTCTGAGTGGAGTGTGCATGTTCTCTTCTCACTCCTCCGGGTACTCCGGTTTCCCCTACCACTAAAAACATGCACACTAGGTTAAATCCTCCAGCTCCGGTAGTCCTGACCAACCTGAGCATCAACATCTGGAGATGGGTTCCCGGGCACTGTACTAAGGCGACCACTGCTCCTGAGGTAAGCCTTCGTGGCATCAGGATGGGTCAAATGCAGAGGATTGAATTGCCCTATGGGGATTTATAAAGTGCACCTTTACCTACTCTACAATTACTCAACTCTACCTGGTTGTGTTTCCATTACACTTTAGTATCTGGTACCATATCCAGCAACCTACCCATAACAAACCAGTATTCAGGAATGTTCCTTGGTAACCATGGCTTCCAGCAGCACTCCATACCCTACCATCGTACTAATTTCATTTTGTACTTTCATTTGCTCCATTGAGCTCCGTTTACAGGTGGGAGAGGTCAACTCCTTTTGCAGATTGAAACAATTGGATCTGAGTTTACTGTGATGTACAGAACCTACAGCTTTCATAAGGGTCTCTTGCTCCGGCTTAAATTTCTTGACATAAGGCCAGGCTAGACCAAGTATAGACCTGGTGGAAATTGGGTCAAAAGATTCTTTGCCTTCTAACTCATAAACTGTAAATATTAACGGACATAATGGCACCTGTGTTTGTGCCACAGACATCGGTAGATGGGAAAATGTGAAAAAAAAACGCATTTGTGCATGCGTTAGCTGCACGAGCCTCATTCATTTAAGAGTCCATTAAAAAGGCCACGGCGGCTAAACTCAGCTGGTTAAAAAAAATTCCCCCTCTCAGCATCGAAAGCAAGTAGCGTTCCAGATGCTAGGCTCAGAGGAAACAAGGCGTAGTTAGAATTTACTGGAAGATTCTTTTTCTTGTACAACACCACCAGCAAGAAGCCAGTGTCATGGACCCTTTGAGTCAGGACCATGGATCTATAATAATATCTGGATAGGGTATTGCTAGCTTATTGCTAAATTGCAACCAAAAGGGGGCGTGGCAAGGGGCCGTATGACAGGAAGTAATTTTGTCCTACTAGTTAGAATGGACGATGCGGAAAACACACACATTGGAGCTTTACGCAGCGTAATGTCACACTTATTTAGAATGAAAACTGTTTTCAATGGAGCGTACGTCATGTACAGTTTGAACGAGTTTCAACAATGAGGATTATGCGGCTGTTATAGAGACGACAGTGGAGTCACTCTGGGATCAATGGAACCAATATTACAGTTTTGATCAATAATACAATAAGTAGGGCACAAATGTAACCTTTTACAACCTTTAACCTTTTTTACATTTGAGGCGAGAAATAAGACCCTTTATTGTCATTTCAGTGATTTGTTAAGCTGTGAATAATAAAAAGTTCGGACTTAAGCTTAAGCTCCAGGGGAAGCTCCGCAGCGTTACGCTAACAGCAGTAAGCTAACGCTAATGCTTTTGTACCGTTCCTTTTTAGGCATTTTCCCAAAAGTCAACATCCGTTAGAGAAATACATTTTAGCAAAATAGAGACTCCATAAGTTCGTCACTTGATATGAGCAGTTGCCACAACTGCACACGCCACAAAAGAGCATTTTTACTCATAGAAACACAGAGAACCTACAGCTTTCATAAAGCAGGACTCTGTAGGAATTTTAGTGCTCCCTGTCGTCCTTAACTTTTTTTGTGTTAAATCCATCGGTTTTCTATTAATCTACACTTTAATGCAACAAACTTTGCTGGTTTGTCTCCCATATAGCTCCGCTCAGATCACTGATTGGTCAGAGCATGGCCGAGCCCCTCAGTGCCCTGTTTTTCTGGTCTCTCTCTCTGATCTCTCTCTAGTCTCTCTCTGGTCTCTCTCTGGTCTCTCTCTGGTCTCTCTCTGGTCTCTCTCTGGTCTCTCTCTGGTCTCTCTCTAGTCTCTCTCTGGTCTCTCTCTGGTCTCTCTCTGGTCTCTCTCTAGTCTCTCTCTGGTCTCTCTCTGGTCTCTCTCTGGTCTCTCTCTGGTCTCTCTCTGGTCTCTCTCTGGTCTCTCTCTGGTCTCTCTCTGGTCTCTCTCTGGTCTCTCTCTAGTCTCTCTCTGGTCTCTCTCTGGTCTCTCTCTGGTCTCTCTCTGGTCTCTCTCTAGTCTCTCTCTGGTCTCTCTCTGGTCTCTCTCTGGTCTCTCTCTGGTCTCTCTCTGGTCTCTCTCTGGTCTCTCTCTGGTCTCTCTCTAGTCTCTCTCTGGTCTCTCTCTGGTCTCTCTCTGGTCTCTCTCTAGTCTCTCTCTGGTCTCTCTCTGGTCTCTCTCTGGTCTCTCTCTAGTCTCTCTCTGGTCTCTCTCTGGTCTCTCTCTGGTCTCTCTCTGGTCTCTCTCTGGTCTCTCTCTAGTCTCTCTCTGGTCTCTCTCTGGTCTCTCTCTGGTCTCTCTCTGGTCTCTCTCTGGTCTCTCTCTAGTCTCTCTCTGGTCTCTCTCTAGTCTCTCTCTGGTCTCTCTCTGGTCTCTCTCTGGTCTCTCTCTGGTCTCTCTCTGGTCTCTCTCTGGTCTCTCTCTAGTCTCTCTCTGGTCTCTCTCTGGTCTCTCCCCCATCTTACCTCGGTCTTGTCCTGATCCTCTGTCTCCACAGAATCCAAAGAGCAGGTTCAGGTCCAGACGACAGCAGGACTTTGAGAGAGTTTAGAAGGAGCTGAGGGAGCGTGCACAGCTGCAGGAGCGTGCACGTATCACACCTGGTCCACCCCCTCTCCCCCTCTCCTCTCCCCCCCCCCCCTCTCTCCTCCTCTGACAGGGAGAAGTGGAATTATTGTACATTTTGGATCAGAAGAACACGCTTTAAAACTATCACACAAAGGGCTCTCTCTCACACACACAGGGCTCTCTCTCTCACACACAGGGCTCTCTCTCGCTCTCTCTCACACACAGGGCTCTCTCTCGCTCTCACACACAGGGCTCTCTCTCGCTCTCTCTCACACACAGGGCTCTCTCTCGCTCTCACACACGGGGCTCTCTCTCGCTCTCACACACGGGGCTCTCTCTCGCTCTCACACACGGGGCTCTCTCTCGCTCTCACACACGGGGCTCTCTCTCTCACACACAGGGCTCTCTCTCTCACACACAGGGCTCTCTCTCTCACACAGGGCTCTCTCTCTCACACACAGGGCTCTCTCTCGCTCTCTCTCACACACAGGGCTCTCTCTCGCTCTCACACACGGGGCTCTCTCTCGCTCTCACACACGGGGCTCTCTCTCGCTCTCACACACGGGGCTCTCTCTCGCTCTCACACACGGGGCTCTCTCTCTCACACACAGGGCTCTCTCTCTCACACACAGGGCTCTCTCTCTCACACACAGGGCTCTCTCTCTCACACACAGGGCTCTCTCTCGCTCTCACACACGGGGCTCTCTCTCGCTCTCACACACGGGGCTCTCTCTCACACACACAGGGCTCTCTCTCTCACACACAGGGCTCTCTCTCACACACAGGGCTCTCTCTCTCACACACACAGGGCTCTCTCTCACACACAGGGCTCTCTCTCTCACACAGGGCTCTCTCTCACACACAGGGCTCTCTCTCTCACACACAGGGCTCTCTCTCTCACACACTGGGCTCTCTCTCTCACACACAGGGCTCTCTCTCTCACATACAGGGCTCTCTCTCTCACACACACAGGGCTCTCTCTCACACACAGGGCTCTCTCTCTCACACAGGGCTCTCTCTCACACACTGGGCTCCCTCTCTCACACACAGGGCTCTCTCTCACACACTGGGCTCCCTCTCTCACACACAGGGCTCTCTCTCACATACAGGGCTCTCTCTCACACACACACAGGGCTCTCTCTCTCACACACAGGGCTCTCTCTCACACACACAGGGCTCTCTCTCTCACACACAGGGCTCTCCTTCTCACACACACAGGGCTCTCTCTCTCACACACAGGGCTCTCTCTCTCACACAGGGCTCTCTCTCACACACACAGGGCTCTCTCTCTCACACACAGGGCTCTCCTTCTCACACACACAGGGTTCTCTCTCTCACACAGGGCTCTCTCTCCCTCACCATAGACTGTATATATTAACGGACGTAGTCACGCCTATCTCAGCCGTTCCCATGGAGTGACTCAAAATGGCCGCGGGGGCTGGAAAATGTGAAAAAACGCATCCACGCATGCGTCAGCCGGCACGAGCTCCATTCATTTAAACGAGTGACTTCAAAAATTCACAGCGAGTAAACTAGAGTGGTCCAAAAAAATTCACTCCCCTCAGCATTGACACACATGTGGAACGGAGCTTTGGGCCAAGAGCCAACTTTTGGACCATCCTGTAAAGACGTTTTCGAGAGGTCAGAAGATGCTATATGTTAGCATTGGCTAATTCTTATTCCGGGTCCACCCCCATCGGCCCGGGGTGGTATTGCAAGCATGTCAGCGCACGTCATTTTGGCCGCTTTTGAGCCAGGACCCGCTCCCACTGTCTCTCACTCAAACACAGGGCTCTCTCTCTCACACAGGGCTCTCTCTCACACAGGGGGCTCTCTCCCTCACACACAGGGCTCTCTCTCTCTCTCACACAGGGCTCTCTCTCTCTCACACAGGGCTCTCTCTCTCTCACACAGGGCTCTCTCTCTCTCTCACACAGGGCTCTCTCTCTCTCTCACACAGGGCTCTCTCTCTCTCACACACACACAGGGGGGACTGCAGAGCTGTGATAATGAGGGACAGGTCTGTGTTCTCAGCGTTTTAAGTAACAGAATGTTTTGAGCTATTTTGGGAAAAGTATTTTTAGACACACGTACACACTGACACACACACATAGACACACACACAGACGCACACCTGCACAGATGTAAGCAGAAAGAAAACACTGAAACTGCAAAAAAAAAAAACATTGTAACAGCAGGAATTGCACCTGAGCTGAACTTGAACCAGGTCTGATCTAGGTCTGAACCAGGGGCCTGAACCTGAACCAGACCTGAACCAGACCTGAACCAGGACTGAACCAAGTCTGAACCAGGTTTAAAACAGACATGGCCCTTCACCTCCTGTCTAAAGCAGGGGTGTCCAAAATTGTCCTGAGGCTGACAGTACGGACTGAACTGGAGTTGGCTGGATGACTCAGTGGTCTCAGGTTGCACATCCAGAGACTGACGATTTGGCCAATTCTTCTGTGCAAGACAGCTCTTGGCTTATTTATTTATGTATTTATTGATTGATGTGGATCATTAGCTCCACAAGGGATTGTCGTCTCTCAGGGGTTTAGACTTTTCCCTGTCCCTGCTGAAGAAAAGCTGCCCACAGCCTGATGCTGCCCCCACTCTTTCTGTGTGGAGTGAGGGACAAATGCCAAAGATAATGATTGTAAAGCGTTTTGTGACTCTGCTCTGAGAAAGGTGCTGTAAATAAAGATTACTTACTTACTTACCCACTCACACTGAGATTGAAGAGCATGTGTGAGTGTGTGTTTGGACCTGTGTATGTTTGTGTGTGTGACTTTAAGGGTGCTTTCACACCTGCACCATTTAGTCCACTTAAAGCGGACTGGAGTCTGGAACACCTGCAAGTACGGTTCGTTTGAGCAGGTGTGAAAGTGGACCAGTTAAATTTGGTCCGGACTAAAGAACCGCACCGAGACCACCATATGGAGCTGGTCTCGGTGCGGTTCCATGTGGACTCCAGTCTGGTTCACTGCTGGTGAGAACGCAGACCGGCCTCAATATGGCCCTGCTCTGTTGCGTAGCTCACTTTTTGACACACACATTGTTTTTTTATTTGATAGAATAGTCAAAAACACCCGCAGATTGTTCTCGTGCTGAATCCGCGATACATACTGGAACTGGAACAACAGTATTTGTGCTGCACAAAGCAACGATGATAAAAAATAGCCAAAAAACGCAGAGTAGCACAGTCACATACGTCATCCAATACACAGTATTTTGTGAACAGCGCCACCACATGCAGAATATGTAACATCCACAGTGGTTGGTTCATTTGCAAAAACACTGGTGTGAATGAGAACCAAACTAGTTGAGAACTGCAACATTGTAACAACTTTAGGGCCCAAGCGAACTACTTTAGTGGACCAACAGGTGTGAAAGCACCCTAAGTGTCCAGAAAAGCACTGTAAACATTTTTTTTTAATTATTGTTATGATTATTATTATTATTATCATTTCTATTAGCAGTATTGTTATTATTATTATTATTATTAGTATTGTTATTATTATTATTATTAGTACTCTCTATTTCCTTAAAGGCCAGTTCTGTGGAGAGGTTCGACTTGAGCTGTCACCATAGGCCTCTTGTCTGCATCTATTGTTGTTCTTGTTGGAGCAGCGAGTTTGGGCAGACGGCTGTGTGTTGGTTTGTTGGCAATGGTGTAATCTCTGAATAATGGACTGAACAGTCTTCTGACCTCTCTGTGGTCTCAGTTGGCGTACGCCTTTGAAAGTCTGAGTTTGAAAGCAGAGTGTGGGGATAGAAGAGGAGGGGGTCCTGCTCTCAGCATGGAGGGAGCAAAACACGACTGCAGGTCTGAGGGTCTAAAAGCCGCGGTCAGACACAGACCCCCCCCTGGGACCTGAAACAGACCTGATCCAGTCCATCTGACACCAAATCAATACTCATCACAACAGTAAACAAGAGCGTAGAACCAGGTCTGAACAGGGTCTGAACAGGGTCTGAACCAGGTCTGAACCTTGTCTGAACCGGGTCTGAACCGGGTCTGAACAGGCCCTGAACCAGGTCTCTGCAGGAACAGAGCAGAACTAGAACAGGCCTAAAGCAGAACTAAAGCAGGACCAGGACTGTACCATGACTGTACTAGGTCTAAACCAGGGCCGAACCAGGACCAGAGGAGAACTGGAACGGGTCTATAATATGGAGCTGAGGCAGGACTGATCCAGGTCTGAACGAGGTTTGGACCAGGTCTAACCCAGACCTAAGCCAGAACAGACCCCAGACTGAACCAGGTCTACGTCCTTCACGTCCCGAGCCTGGATGCGGCTCTGAAGTCTCCACGCGCGTGTCGCTGTTTTGCCGCATCACACACGCACACATCCCATAATAACCACACCTATGCCCCCCACCCCCGCGTGCCCCTGCACCCCCTGTACCCCACACTCCACTGTCCCACGCACCTGACGGGGTCTTCTCTTTGCTCTCCATTGCGGCGGGAGGCGGCAGGCGCGGCAGGGAGCGGCAGGAGCGGTGTGAGGAGGCGCGTCACGTCAGCGGCAAAGGCTCTACATGTGAGGGGCAGAGAGGCGGCAACAGCGCGGCAGGAGCGGTGAGGCAGTAGAAGCGGCTGGAACGGAAGAGGCGCGGCAGAGGCGGCTGTCTGTGTCGCGGCTTGATGCGGACGCGCTGCGGCTCTGAAGCGAACTGATGGAGAAAAGTGCTGTGACGTCATCCATGGGCAGGACCTGTGGATGATTGACGGGAGGCACGAAGCGGAGGAGCACGTGACCAGAGACTTAATAACAACAATATAAAATACACAACAGTTTGGCTGCAAGCGGCGATGAAAGGCCCTCACTTTCAGTAGAAAAGTTACACCCTGACTCTCCCTTGTATTTTCACTGATTTATACATCTGGAACAGTCTTCCTGAACATGTGAGACAGGCTACTGTCTTCGGTTCTCTGGTCCAGTCTGGTCCTCATGGGTCTGGTCCTCATGGGTCTGGTCCACATGGGTCTGGTCCACATGGGTCTGGTCCACATAGGCCTGATCCACATGGGTCTGGTCCACATAAGTCCGGTCCAGGTCTAAACCAGGAGCAGTGCTTAGGTCTAAACCAAGAGTGCTTTCACAGCCGGATGTTTTATCCCTTATTGATTTTTTAATGTTTCCTGAGTCTGCAAGTGCAATAAAGATAACAGTCCCGGTCCAGACCTGGTCCAGTCTGGGTTCAATCTGGATTCAGTCTGGTTTTAGACTAGGACTAAACCAGGACTGACACGACCCCGTCACAGTTTTAACCTGGTCTAGTCCCGGTTTAAAAGCTAACGTCTGGACTCAGTGAGGACACACAGCTGTAAGTGTGACTTTATTTATTCTTCAGTGTATTTACAGACAGTTCACATCCTTATGTTTGTGTGAGAGGAGGAGCAGCAGCTCAACGCAGAGCTACAAACCAAAACTTTCACATTAAAACAGGGAGAAACAACACATCTGCAAGAGAAAACTTTACTTTCCACAAAACACACTCAGTCCTTGGTCTACAACCTCAGTCCTGGGTCTACAGCCTCAGTCCTGGGTCTACAGCCTCAGTCCTGGGTCTACAGCCTCAGTCCTGGGTCTACAGCCTCAGTCCTGGGTCTACAGCCTCAGTCCTGGGTCTACAGCCTCAGTCCTGGGTCTACAGCCTCAGTCCTGGGTCTACAGCCTCAGTCCTGGGTCTACAGCCTCAGTCCTGGATCTACAGCCTCAGTCCTGGGTCTACAGCCATTTTGTGTCAGTTTGGGATAAAAACATGTGATTTTTTACATTCTGTGCAAAGTGGAACATACATGTGACATCACCACTGTCCTCTTTGTGTATATACAGCTTTACAGCAGTTTACAGACGTCAAAGCCTCAAAATGGCCGCCGCTGAGACCACACATTTCCAGCCAAAATGTTCTGTGCGTGTGATTGGTCGGAGGCTGGGTGTGTGTTCGTCGTACAGTCTTTAAAAGGCATCAGCAGAAATACGGGGCACAAAGTGAAACACACAACTCAACAATAACTCATTGTGAAACCAAAAAAATTGCAATATTTATTTATCGCGACGCATCAGGATATCAATATTTAAAATATTCCAAGAGAAGAACCCTGGGAAGTTTATACACACACCCACATACTGAGACACACACAGAGTCAGAGGCTCACCCACACACTCTGAGACACACTTACAGACACACACACACTTACACACACTCACCCACACACTCTCACTGACACACAGAGTTAGAGGCTCACCCACACACACACAAACTCAGACACACGTTTACACACATACACACACTCTCAGAGACACACACATCTGTGACAGAGCGTCGGAGAAAGGCTTCTGTGGAGATCTGAGACGTTAGCTCACACAAACTGTGAAGCTATAACGTTGTGTTTGTGAAGACCAGAGAGAGAGAGAGACCAGAGAGAGACCAGAACCAGAGAGACCAGGGAGAGAGACTTGAGAGAAAGAGACCAGAAAGAGACCAGAGAGAGACCAGAGAGAAACCAGAGAGAGATACTAGAGAGACCAGAGAGAAACCAGAGAGAGATACTAGAGAGACCAGAGAGAAACCAGAGAGAGATACTAGAGAGACCAGAGAGAAACCAGATAGAGAGCTACTGTGGGGCTAACGTTGTGTTTGTGAAGCTAACGTCTGCGGTGAAGGCTGCGATAAGCAAGGATTCTGTGGTGACAAAAACGAGACACAATCAAAGGTCGATATTTAGAATCACACTGAGAATAGAGTTCTCTCGTGTTTAGATTACACCAGCAAGGGTTAAAGGGCCTGACCCTGAATTATACTGCTTTAAAACAGTGAGAGCTAGCATCATTAGCATGTGTTAGCCACAATAACACTCTAGTATTAGGCTGAGTTTACACAGAGACAATGTGGCAGTAAAACGGTATAGTTGGATGTCGGTTTCTACCAACCGTTCATACGAGACTTTGTTCCAGGGGGGTGAAAACGTAAGTGTTCAGATCCAGCCTGCAGAGTGGGACAGCTCAGATACGCTGCACAGCGGGGGCTCTCTTTCACACCCGCGAGAGGGAGAAAGGTGTGAAATCCCCCTCTGCTCTGACCCCCACCTCCGCACTGCTCCCTGCACGTAAATTTGGACATGCGCAGTAGCGGAGAACAAACATAAACAACAATGGCGGCGGTCACACTAACTAGCTTCGTGGACTTCCAGCGCGGCACAGAGGAAGACTCTACTTCTTTGTTCGTCCAAACGAGACCACACAAAGCTCTAGGTTCAGTTTTCATTTTCACAGCTGCTGTTAAAATGCAGAATGATGTTGGTGCAGTCGGCACTAGATCATATACAAAATCGGGACGAAACCGGAACTAACAATCTTACTTTAAATTAATTTTAGACTAATTTGTCCTTAAGTGGTGACTGGTTAAGTTTAGGCGTCTGAGTAAGATGGTTAAGTTTAGGGTTAAGGCTGGGTTGGGGTTATTTTATGGGAATGGCTGGTTAAGTTTAGACATGAATAGGTAGTTTGTTTTATTTACTTCCGCTTCCGTCCAGATTCCGACGTAATCTACTGCTGCGTATGCTCATTGGATCAAACTGAACTTCCGGACGAATCCGGTTTCCGAAACGAATACAGGAGTGACAGACCATGTTGGTACGTTCTGAGGGTCTGGCACAGGAAGTGAGTATACTGCCGAGAGGGGGGCTGGGCACGGGGCTGGGGGTCGTGTGAGTGTTGTAACGTTTCTCTGCCCACTACTGGCCGGGCGCTAGAACTACAGCGTTTTTCAACCTCATGTGAACGCTGAGAAATTTGCATTAGGAGCCTGGTCGTCTCTGTTAATAGCCTGGAAACGTCTGCGCAGCGTCTCAGTATAAACAGGGCCTTAGACCAAACCTACACCGTTTATAACACAAAGAGAAAGCAGAGAGAGACCAAAAGAGAGCCCAAAGAGAGACCAGAGAGAGACCAAAAGAGAGACTAGAGAGAGACCAGAGAGACCAAAGAGAGAGACCAGAGAGAAATCAAAGAGACTAGAGAGACCGGAGAGAGAGACCAGGGAGAGACCAGACCATTTTAGTGGTCCCTGAAATGAGTTTCAACAATTACTACTAACTTGGAGCATTGATGGTCTATTTGTGCTGTGGCTGTTGGAGCTCATTTTGAAGCAAATGTTCACAAGAAAAAAACAATATAATTTATTTCCTTCTAAAACATGAACCCAACACTTCATTATAATCCTTTAACTTTGACCCAGTGTTGGTTCAGTCCAAACAGAAGCAACTCAGGTACAGGCCCTTTTCTGCATCAAACCAGAGAGGGACCAGAGAGAGACCAGAGAGAGACCAAAGAGACCAGAGAGAGACCAGTGAGAGACCAAAGAGAGACCAGAGAGAGACCAAAGAGACCAGGGAGAAACCAGGGAGAAACCAGAGAGAGACCAGAGACTTGAATGGATCCATGTCTGTGTCTTCAGAAGAACTTGTCGTCGATGCGGAAGTGTGGTCGTGTGACATCATCCGGGTTGATGAACACAGAGATGGACTTGCCGGGGTTCTCTGTCACCAGCTGCTGCAGTTTTTTGGCCAAACGGTCGTCAGGCTGAGCGTCTCCGCCGGCATCGGACTGAGGCGACGGCAGGTTGGAGGAAGCACCGCGCCACTGCAGTTCCACTGTCAGCCTGTGGGGGCAGCATCAGTCAGACTCACTACATAACAGGTTTGTCTCTGCGTTACCATGGTGATGTCGTCTGTTCATTTTTCTGTGTTTGGTCTTTAATGCCATTTACCCGTGTGTTGTACAGTGCCTTGCGAAAGTATTCGGCCCCCTTGAATTTCAGGCTTCAAACATAAAGATATACAATTTTTTGTCATGAATCAACAACAAATTTATTGGATAATTTAAACTTTTTTAACAAATAAAAAACTGAAAAGTGGGGCGTGCAATATTATTCGGCCCCTTTACTTTCAGTGCAGCAAACTCAGTCCAGAAGTTCAGTGAGGATCTTTGAATGATCCAATGTTGTCCTAAATGACTGATGATGATAAATAGAATGCACCTGTGTGTAATCAAGTCTCTGTATAAATGCACCTGCTCTTTGATAGTCTCAGGGTTCTGTTTAAAGCGCAGAGAGAACCATGAAGACAAAGGAACACACCAGGCAGGTCCGAGATACTGTTGTGGAGAAGTTTAAAGCTGGATTTGGATACAAAGAGATTTCCCAAGCTTTAAACATCTCAAGGAGCACTGTGCAAGCAATTATATTGAAATAGAAGGAGTATCAGACCACTGCAAATCTACCAAGACCCGGCCATCCCTCCAAACTTTCATCTCAAACAAGGAGAAGACTGATCAGAGATGCAGCCAAGAGGCCCATGATCACTCTGGATGAACTGCAAATAACTACAGCTGAGGTGGGAGAGTCTGTCCATAGGACAACAATCCTATGGACAGTGATTCAAGAGGGGCAAGAAGAAAGCCCTTTCTCAAAGACATCCATGAAAAGTCTCGTTTAAAGTTTGCCACAAGCCACCTGGGAGACACACCAAACATGTGGAAGAAGGTGCTCTGGTCAGATGAAACCAAAATCAAACTTTTTGGCCACAATGCAAAACGATATGTTTGGCGTAAAAGCAACACAGCTCATCACCCTGAACACACCATCCCCACTGTCAAACATGGTGGTGGCAGCATCATGGTTTGGGCCTGCTTTTCTTCAGCAGGGACAGGGAAGATTGCTAGAATTGATGGGAAGATGGATGGAGCCAAATACAGGACCATTCTGGAAGAAAACCTGTTGGAGTCTGCAAAAGACCTGAGACTGGGACGGAGATTTATCTTCCAACAGGACAATGATCCAAAACATAAAGCCAAATATACAATGGAATGGTTCACAAATAGACGTATCCAGGTGTTAGAATGGCCAAGTCAAAGTCCAGACCTGAATCCAATCGAGAATCTGTGGAAAGAGCTGAAGACTGCTGTTCACAAACGCTCTCCATCCAACCTCACTGAGCTCGAGCTGTTTTGCAAGGAAGAGTGGGCAAGAATTGCAGCAAAAGGTGGCGCTACAAAGTATTAGCGCAAGGGGGCCGAATAATATTGCACGCCCCACTTTTCAGTTTTTTATTTGTTAAAAAAGTTTAAATTATCCAATAAATTTCATTCCACTTCACGATTGTGTCCCTCTTGTTGTTGATTCTTGACAAAAACAATTATTTTATATCTTTATGTTTGAAGCCTGAAATGGGGCGAAATGTTGAAAGGTTGAAAGAATACTTTCGAAAGGCACCGTATATATATGATTAAGTACTTTATATGTTCTTTATATTTGTTATAATATAGAATATCTCACCTGTGCGCAGCTTTAGCCTGCTCTAGCGCCCCTCGCAGGTGCTCTACAGGTTCTGCGCGGATGGAGCAGATGCGGCGAGCGTGTAGCAGGGCGCTCTCGTCGCTCAGGTGCTCGAACATGTTGCATTGTGGGATGAAGTAGTTTGGACACGTCCTGTTGAGGAGGCAGTGCTGCAGGTCATCCAGCAGCCCCAGCAAAAAGTGGGCGGAGCTATCGTCCTGGCTCAGGTACGCGGCGGGAAGGCGGTCGCAGGCCCACAGCATGGTGCTGCGCAGGTGGTACGCGGTCAGCGCTTTGGGACGCGAGAGCAGCTTCATTACCAGCGCCTTACAGGCCTGGAACGCCTGCATGAGGCCCACAGAGATGCACTTCTTCAACTGCACCTCCGAGCGCGCAAACGACAACCGCCACTCATTCTCCCGCCGACCAGACGGCGAACAGGCGGGAACCAGGTAGAACCCACTGATCACCTGCGGAGGGACAATTTATTATGTAACACCAGGTGGAACCCACTCACCTGCAGATCACCTGTACCTCCTCCTGTCCCCTACCCTCCTCCTGTCCCCTGCCCTTCCCCTCTCCCCTTCCCCTTCCCCTCTCCCTTTCCCCTCTCCCCTACCCTCCTCCTCTCCCCTTCCCCTTCCCCTCTCCCTTTCCCCTCTCCCCTACCCTCCTCCTCTCCCCTGGCCTTCCCCTGTACCTCCTCCTCGGTGATCTTGCCGTCCCAGAAGTGGTTCTCCATGAGCCAGGACTGAGCGACAGCTGGCCAGCCTTTGAAGGAGACCACAGGCACGATGTCATAGAGCATCCTGCTGCTGCCCACGCCCAGCACCACCGACACCACCGTGCCATGGGCCTCCACCTTCTCCACCCGCGGCATACCCCTCTGCGGCTTCCTCTGGATCTGACACAGATAGAGAGACAGAGACATGTGTCCCCCGAACTCTGACCTCTGACCCGACCTACTGGATCTGAGACAAACCATATCACACAAATACACAATGTACCCCACTACTCTGTTTGCTGTAGTGTTAGCTGTAGCATTAGTTGTAACCATAGACTGTATATATTAACGGACAGAGTCACGCCTATCTCCGCCGTTCTAACTAATGGGCCAAAAAATGTGCTCTACTGGAGCTATCCAAAATGGCCGCGAGTGGTCCGGCTCACAAGTAAACTAGAGTGGACCAAAAAAATTAACCCCCCTCAGCATTGACACGCATGTGGAACGGAGCTTTGGGCCAAGAGCCAACTTTCGGTCCATCCTGTAAAGACGTTTTCGAGACGTCTGCCGATGCTATATGTTAGCATTGGTAAATTCTTCTTCTGGGTCCACCCCCATCGGCCCGGGGTGGTATTGCAAGCATGTCAGCACACGTCATTTTGGCCACTTTTGAGCTGGGACCCGCCCCCACTGGTTGTAACATTAGCTGTAGGATTAGCTGAAACGTTAGCTTATCTCTGATAGCACAGAGCACACAGAGGAGTAGAACCAACTGGAGAACTTGGTGGGGCTTTAGGGTTAGCTGTAGCATTAGCTGTAGCATTAACTTACCTCTGATAGCACAGAGCACACGGAGCAGTAGAACCAGCTGGAAACCTTGGTGGGGCTGTAGAAGTAGTTGTTGCCGCTGGAGTGTTCGACCACAGAGCAGCAGTCTTTCCACTTGCTGATTGTTGATTGGTCAAACAGCCGCAGAGATAGCCACGTGTGCCCCAGGGCAGACTGCCGCATGTCCAGAGTCACCGGCTGGTTCCGGTCGTGTAGCTTTAGAGCCGGTACCAGGAGCGTGAAGTCCATGTCAAAGTCTGAACCGCGAGAATATACTGAGACATCGTCTAGGTCCAGATCCACCACCCCCTCACGGACCCCCCCTGAGAGCAGCAAGTACTCGTTAGCTACAGGAAGCTTCTGATCCAGCTTCTGCACCATGCCTGAGGGAGAGAGGATGTATGAGAGAGGCCCCTGAGGGAGATGCATGTGTGAGAGAGGCCCCTGAGGGAGATACATGTGTGAGAGAGGCCCCTGAGGGAGAGACATGTGTGAGAGGCCCCCCCAGAAGACAGACTCACACAGTGTGTTCTGTGAGGGGAGGGGGCAGGACACAGATAAAGTCATTTCTCAATCACCTGAGTTTGTGAGGATTAGATCAGGATTATCTGAGGTCAAAGCTCCAGATTTATATTTTCATCTGGATCTATCGCACGCACATAAACCCACACAGGCACACAGACACACATATACACACACAGACACACACACACACACACACACTGACCTAACATGGAGAAAATGAAGTCCTTGGCTGTGTGTATCTCCAGTGCTCTCTGATCATCGTATTCTCTCTGTTCGTGTTTACTGAGTTCCAGGATCAGACGAGACAAGTCCTCCATCCGAGTCCCAGACCTGGAACAGGACCAGAACCAGTCTAAAGCAAGACTAAACCAGGTCTAAAGCAGGACTAAACCAGGTCTAAAGCATGACTTAAGCAGGTCTAAAACAGGTCTAAAACAGGTCTAACGCAGGTCTAACGCAGGTCTAAAGCAGGACTAAAGCAGGACTAAAGCAGGACTAAAGCAGGACTAAAGCAGATCTAAAGTAGGTCGAAAGCAGGTCTAAAGCAGATCTAAAGTAGGTCTAAAGCAGGACTAAAACAGGTCTAAAGCAGGTCTAAAGCAGGTCTAAAGCAGGTCTAAAGCAGGACTAAAGCAGGACTAAAGCAGGACTAGAGCAGGTCTAGAGCAGGTCTAGAGCAGGTCTAAAGCAGGTCTACAGCAGGTCTACAGCAGGTCTACAGCAGGTCTAAAGCATGACTTAAGCAGGTCTAAAGCAGGTCTACGATACAATACTATTATAAACGATTCCTAATGACCCTCGCTCTCAGACGGAGCCAGCCCAGTCCGGTCCTGACCTGAAGTCTAGCTCGGGGCCTGGTCCTGAGCCGGGGCCGCCGCCAGGGCCTCTCCCCGCGGGCAGAGTGGGACTGCTGCTGGCGCTGTTTCCCCCGGGAGCAGACATGATGCGAGGCCTGTGGAACTCCAACACGAGCTGAAATTGCGAGCAAGGGGCCCCAGTCCAGACAGGGACAAAGCTGGACTAAAGCCGGTCCAAAGCCGGTCTAAAGCCGGACCAAAGCAGGTCTAACACGGGGCTAAAGCAGGACTTAGCCCGGGCTAAATCAGGTCTAAAGATGGACTAATGATGAGGACTAGAGCAGGTCGCTGAGGGATGCAGGAACGTTTCCGCCAGTGTCCTTTCAAAATAAAATCAAAGAGACTTCTACTGGTCTAAAGCAGAGCTAAAGCAGGTCCAAAGCAGGACTAACCCCGGTCAAAAGTACAGTAGACTCAAAGAAGATCCAAACCTGGACTTAAACTGGACTAAAAGTGCGGGATGAGGACAAGTTTCCGCTCCACACCCTTTCACAGTAAGAGGACCGGGCGTAGGCGGAGGTCGCATCCTAATCCTAAACACGTATATTGCCTTTTTCGTCCTTTTATCGAGTAGTTATTGTCTATAGAGCAATAAACACACATTTCTCATGGCTTTAAACTCACAGCACCGACCTGCATCCATTTTATTTCAGAAAAGGTACATTTTAAGGACAAGTAAGGAGAAGAGAAGAACGCATTTAGTGTGAAATTGGACTCTGATATTTCATCTCTAATCATTCATTCATTCATTCATTTTCAAGCCCTTTATTTTCCATTTCTGGGTCAGGGGGGTGGCAATGAGAGCTGCCACCCAATGCTCATAGCACCAGTCCCTCGCTGATCCTCTGCAGGGGGTGAGTCCACAGGAAGATGGCTGCTCTGTCAGTGGTGAAACAGCCTTGGTCTTTCAGCGGGGGCTTCAGGCAACGTGGGGTTAAGTGTCTTGCCCAAGGACACAACGTAGATCGTTCACACACGTCTGTAGTTTAAATCTCGAGTGTGCAGTGCGCTGTTTATGATTGTTTACCTCCGTGTCATATGTTTGTTGCTGCTGCTCGTAGATCTCTCTGTTTGGATCAATATTGTAAAGAAAACACTTTCTCTGCGTTGTCAAACAATCTGTATTCACTGTATTCTACTGTATACAGTAATGCAGTTTGTTTACGTCTGGTTGTAGTAGTATTTCCAGCGCTAGTTGACGCGGTGTTTTGGGATGTACACACGTGAGCTAAAGCACACTGTATACAGATCAAATGCACTTTTAATAAGTTTAATGCACATAGTTGTTGTAACAGGCTGTGTATAAGTGCTGCTGTGAGTTTGGATCAGTGTTGTCACTGTGCTCTTTCTCTGTTCACTAACTATTGTCTCATAAACGTGATTTATGGCTAATAATGTGTGACAGGCAAAGTACTGTTAGTCACATGATGCCAAAATAAGTGTATAATACAGTTTGCTCCATCTGTTGTACTGTAGTGTACAGTATGCTTATTGTTGATGTGTGTACTATCTATATGTATTTCACATTTCTATAGCTCAGCAACACATTGAGTTGAAAATGAATTATATGCAGTTAGTTTACGACAATGTATTAGTGTTTTACCAGTTCATATTTTCCTTCTATAACTGTACTTACTGTATCCCAGAGCCTCATGCTGCTAATGTCCAGATGTAAACATACAACTGTATATGTCTTCTCTAGATTATACAGGATTCATGCTTCTTTATTATGCTAAATTTAATTATTTTATTCTTTATTATGCTAAAGATATATACATTATACATACTTCTCTATCATGTTATAGCTTGATATTTTATGATCTTTTTTTGTTGTTGCAGACAATATGAAGACATTTTCATTCTTTCCTGGCCGCGTCACTGTGATTTTTCACAAGGGCCCACGTGGATTCCTGCTGCAGGACCCTTCGGAGGAGGCGAGGAAGATCAGGGACGACCCGTCCATGAGGGAGTGCGGTGCTCCTCTGAGGGAGGAGGTGGTGAGGGAGAACGCCCTCACTCTGGTGCGAGTGAGAGGAGGTGATGCCTCAGACAAGGCTGAAGTGCTGGGGGAGTACATCGCTCACAGCAGGCAGTAAGACCAGCACAGTGCCTGTTGTCACCATGCCCCCTGCAGCAGTGAACCCCCTCCTCCTGCTCAGACTCATGTCACCGCTGTCTGAGGAGGCCATAGAGAAGGTTGTGCAGCGGATCTTGGAAAAGCAGCAGCAGCCTCCAGCAAATAAACCCCACACAAAGAAATGCCTGTCCTGTGGCCAGCCAAAATCCAAATATGAGGGCGATGGCAGCTCCATCCACGAGTTTTACCAGCAGGGTCCTACCAGGTATTTCTACTGCTGCCACGCAGCAGAGAGTGAATGAGCGGCAGGAGAAGAAAAGGAAGAGAGATGAGTCTCCTGCCACTGGGAGAAAGTGCGGGTTCTGCAAACTGCAGCTGAAGCAGGGACCAAACAGTCCTCACATTCATACACAATTCCCTGGTCTGTCAGGGAAATACATCTACTGCCCTGCCAAAGTATTCTCCCTGTACAAGGGAGAATACTTTGGGAGAACACAGATGTTCCAGCAGTCTCCTTTTTATGACCGGGAGAGGGAAAGGTGGCGTGTAAATAAATGAGCTATCTGCTGTCTATTGGTGCTGTTGTATATAGTTACTATATTATACCTGTCTGTTCATAAATGTTTATAAATATTCTAATTATTATGTAAATATATACTTAATATTGATTACAAATGAAATTATATAATTACATATAAAGTCTGCATCTACAGTTCTGTAAAGTCCGCTCTCAGCCGTCACAGTCACAGGGCTCATCACACAAATACTAGTTTAAGAAGATAAAGATAGCATGTTGTTGTTTTTCTTCTAAGTGTATTTCTTAAATTTGTAAATATCTCTTTTTTCATCTGTTCACAATAAATATATTATAATGTCATACATTATTGAAGTCTTTCTTTTTATTGATCATATTTCAGGGCAAACAGTAGTATTTAACAAAACAATCTGTATAGAAAATAGAGTTTCAGTTCAGTGTCAGTGGGATCAAAGCAGCTATTGTTGAACTTGTTCAAAGCACCCCCTGCAGAGTTCTCACCTCTGGGATATTCCAGGTACAATACAATACAATTTATTCTTGTATAGCCCTAGGTCACAACAGAAGTCATCTCAGAGGACTTAACAAAACCATTGAAATCACCAACACAGGTCAGAGAATCAACAGTTAAAACACATGAAGAATACAGTATAAAGCACACACAGAAGAAAATGTCCATACATGTTGTAGAATGCTAAAGTGTCCTGATCATCACCAATCCTTTCTGTTGGACACTAACTGTCCAACAAGACCCTCCTGCATCGACAAGGAAAAACTCTTAAAAAACCCAGTGGGAAAAAGTGAGAAACCTTGGAGGAGAACTAGGGAAACCCACAGGGAGGGAGACCCATATGAGAAAGGGATCCGCTCCTCCGGACGGACAGACTAATGATCTAGGACCTAAGCTAGCTACAGAACGTGGACCAGTGGACGCTGAACGTGGACAGGTCCGGTGCAGGACCGAAGCACTCCCAGGCGGGTCGGGCGGGGCAGTCCACAGGTGTAGATGGAAGAGGCCAGGCTCAGAGATCCCGTCATCGTACCATGAAACAGACAATGGGACAACGGGTGAATAGCAATGAACAAACTACAGTCAGAATCCTAAAAATGCTAAACAGATAAAGTAGGAAGGAGGAGAGGATAGTGCTCAAGTTACCATACTTCTCCCAGCAAACTGACTCCCTATGCAGCTTGACTAACACTCTGAGGAGTTTAACCTTCTCCGAGTCTTACCTTCCTAGCCATATGCTAAACTAAAGAGGACTGTTTTAAACCTAGCCTTGAATAAAGAATAACATACAGCATAATATATAACATAATATACAACATAACACAATACATTATTGAATAATGTAGGGATTTAGACAAATACAGGTGTGTTTGTCTAAATCCCTTGATCAACACTTTTCCCATCCTGAGGAGGTGTGACCTTTAACCTGTGTGTGAGGCCTTTGGGGATAAGCCTCTGTGATCTTCACACACTCACACTTTGTGCAGGTCAAAAGGTTTCATGACATTGCTGTTAATATTACTGTCAATTCACTGATCATTTCAAGTGTTACATTTCAAAGAAGCTCTCTAATAGTTACATTTATGTACTTGAAACTTTTAAATAAGTTTGATTTATTTGGGGTGAGACGGGTTTCGAACTCGCGTCTGTAAATATCCCTGCATTTTGATTGGTTGGACTTCATCACAAAGGCACGTGGCTGACGATATGCCCACTATACGCGGTTGGCCACTGCGGGAGCAATTGGAGTAGGTCCCATGGTGGGAAGTGAACTCACGACCTCCAGGCTCAAAGGCCACTGCTCTACCAACTGAGCTACTGTCGCCCCCATCTCTAATCACTTGGTTATTTAAGATTAAGATTCAAATGAAGAAATCCTGAATTCGTGTTACAGTGGGGAAATGTCAGTGTTGCATCACCAGTTACAGCTTCTGGTTTTTTTGAGAGTAAAGTTACAAATCCCAGTTGTTATTTATGAGACCAAAGTTACAGATCCTAGCTTTAAACATGTGTTATTCAAGAGTACAAAGTTAGAGAGATTTGTTTGTATTTTTATGATGTATTTTTTTAGTTGTATTTACATTATTCGGATAGTTCAATTTTTTCAAATAGAATTTTTTTTTAATTGTTTTTGCTGCTGCTATTAATGTTGCAGTGTGTGTGTGTGTGTGTGTGTGTGTGTGTGTGTGTGTGTGTGTGTGCACGTGTGTGTGTGTGCACGTGTGTGTGTGTGCACGTGTGTGTCTGCACTTGTTTTCAACTCCTGGTGGGATCCATAACCTGAGATTCCACTCACGTCATGGGGACTGGTTTTACGTGGTGGGGCCCGAACACCGGACCCCACTGGTCCAAGCTTAATAATCAATGGGTAATGCTTTTCTAACGGTCCTTATGCAGTCTCTGTAAAAATATGGAAAGGACCCCTGGAGGTTTACTTTCCTGAAAAAAGTGTGTTATGTGTCG